GCTTTACATTGATTCTTATCTCCGCTAAAGTTCAGCTACCGCATGGTTCCTACCCCCTCCATGGACGTGGTCAATTCACTAAAGCAAAAAACTGGCGCTCATATGACTGACTGTCCCTTTCGAAACCTATATGTCAAATTTGATGGGGTCTGGCAATCGTTCTTCGACTTTAAACCGTTTGATGGTCTAATCTTTCTTGTCACTATTTGTCATAATGGAGAATGAGGTGCTTTTTGCTGCGCTGTGAGGGCGACTGAGTCACTTTTGGTACTATATCTGACATTTCATTTTGTGATTTTGTTATCTATTTCTAGATGAAAGAGGAAGTAATCGAGGGCTGTATAATTCGGAAATGAAAGGGGTGACAAGGAAAAGTCGTTAGGTCTGTGTTCTTGGTGACCATTTCTTTTCATAATAGACTGAACACTGCATGGAAATCTCAAGGGACTTTGCTTTCGAAATAATTACTCGTAGAGCTCGAGGTTTGCTACATAAGTGACATGATCGGAAGCATTTCTTCACATTTTCTTGACCTTTCACCCAAACTTCGGAAAAGGCTTGAGTAAACACGAACGCTCATACATGCCTTGATCTAGTATCAGAGTAATTGTAATAGAACAACACGCTACTGTAACTCCTATTTTTGCAAATATTGATTATTCTTATAAGGCTCATTCAAGCAAAGAATTTCTGCACCAAGGAAAGCAACGTTTTTTTTTGCACTAAAAGTACAATTTGACATATTGTTTCGACCTAGTGAAAAATGGACTATTTGCAGTAGAATATCACTGATACCTTTTTATAACCGTAGAGAACCTTCTCGAGGGAAATAAGCTTTTCCCATCGAAAGGTTGCATATGACAAGCCATCCTCTCATAATTTTTCTTTGTGAAACAATCTAATGCGTTCGGAAACGATTTCCTTGAATTGCCGAGCATTGAACTATCTCGATAGAAGCTCTTTCTTTATCGAAATAGAGCCCTATCGCAACCACATCAGAAAGCACATTATCTGAAAACTTCAAGAGTGTAATCACTTAACAAGGAAATGGTCAGAACTTAACCTAGCCATTCCAAACAAGCTGTATATCATCGGACTCGTCTTAAAACGATGACTCCAATGTTTCTTACCTGCCAAGCGACTATCTGGGAGGAGTTATGAGCGTTCAAATATGAGAAATTTTTCGAGTCGACAAATATTTTCTCTTAAAGGCATCCCCGATGGCGCTAATTCACAATGGCTATGGTTACTTTGCAAGGAAGAAGCACATTTCACCGGACACCTAAATAAAGTGTTTTTGAAACCTATATCTGGAACATGCGCCGTAGAACACTACACAAATCGCACATGTACGCTCATAACTCCTACCAGATAGTCGCTTGGCAGATAAAAAACATATATTTGTGATTAGCGTTTCAAGACATTCCGATGATATACAGCATGCTTGGTATGGCTGGGTTAAGTTCTGACTATTCTCTGCTAAGCTTTCGTTTTATATGTACCTACACCGTAATCCTATACTGATCGCAAGAACTATAAGAATTACTCGAGTCAATCAAAGCTTCTACTTAAAAAATGGACCATTGCGACCAGTGAAAAAGAGACAGGGTTTTTTGATTAAATCATAGATAAGCGCTTTGTGATGCAGTTGTACTTGATAAGGCCATGGATCACATCTTTTTTATCAAGTTCAACTGCTTAATTCTCTTCTTTTATTGTTTGTCACAGTTCGAATTTGCTGGAAGAAATTTCTGAACTGCATATTTTTTACCAGGTTCGTTGCAGATTCTGCAGCCCTCTTGAAATAGTGCAAGAAAAGTTTCTTACTGCATTAGGCGAACAAAGTACACTTTACTGCAATTGATGAGTGAAAGTTTTGTTGATTTTCCACAGCTCTTCACAAATCGAATGTTTCTGAAAATTGCTGCGCCGTACCCTCTTTTTTTCCTGTAAGTTATATCCTGTTCTGACAATGATCAAATTTGTCTGCTTCTTAACCATGCAGTCCCTAATCGAATTACATAGTGCTGGGCTGTAACTTTTTCTTTATTTTCTTTCCCGCTTTAAATCATGAAATTCTAGTAGGCACATCTGGCACACATGTGCTGTTTCCATCGTTTTGTAGCGCCGTTCGTTTCTTTTGCGCTATTGCAGCGGCCCCTATACTACTTTTCTCGTAAAGTATTCCATGAAGGAGCGAGACGCTTCAGCTAGTTACCACTGACTCAAAACAGTAAACTTCGTCTTTGGGGGAGTGTGTGCAAAACATATGGGGGAAGCATGTGATGTCTATCTTCTTCAGGATGGTGTCACAACAACAGTAAGAATGATAGAGAAGTGTTGATGGGCAATTTACGAGAAGGAAGTAGCGGTAGGAATTTGGCAATGCTGAAAAGGAAACTTAGCGACGCTGTGGAAGGGCAAATCTTTCGTAAAATGAATTTTCAACTCTTTTGCATATTACTCGATATCATGCGATCTGATAAATGCTTATTTGAATATTATTGCTGGTATAGATCCCCCCTTCCGCTCTTCCCTCTCGCCATTGCCAGATGGACTTCGTATATATAGTACAAACTCAGAGTTTACAACGAACTGAAAGCATAGTAAAATTTTAAATAAATACAGGGTGTCCTAAAAAATCTGCCTACTGTTTGATTGTTAATAACTCTCTTGTAATGGAGTCTTTCGGTAAGCTGTAGTTTCCGTTTCATAGAGCTGGCTTCAACTTAGATTTCCAGTTTAGACCGAACCACCGATCGCCCTTCATTACTGTAGGATTACGGTAGAAACTTCAAGCATATGGTGTCACTGTGAAAAAAGTTGTTTCAAAAATTTCAAAAAATGTGAAAACTTGTGTAATAGAGTTTTCATGGACGCTAGCTTCAATACTCAAGTATGTACAAGATTGCGAAGCTTTTAAAACGGTATAACCGCACTTTTTAGAGATAGTGAAAAACGGCCGCTACTGCTTATCTCACATAATTACTGAGGCATTATGATAAGTTGCTAATTTCACATTTAGAATCAGCAACTCTAATTAGTTCAGCGTGAGAGTCTTCAGGTGGTTTTGTTCCCTTTGTGTGGCAAAATATGGCCTTTCATCGTTAAAAACCCTCTTCAAAGTTTCTGCCGTAATCCTACGGTAACGGAGAGCAGTCGGTAATCCGCTTTATACCGTGAACCTAAGTCGAAGCTAACTCTACAAAATGGTGCCTAAAGCTTTTCGAAAGACTTCATTACAAGAGAGTTATACACAATTAAACAGTAGGTACATGTTTTGGGACGCTGTATACCAGATGGTCGCATTGATTGCCCTGTCTCAATATCTTCAATAAGTTTTGCCCCTTATGATGAAAGCCAAAACCCTTTCTGGACCGTTCCCTAGTAAAACCCACAGGGCTCACGAGGTGGCTTTCCGAAAATGCAGAAAATAAAGTCCCCCTTTGCTTTCGCAAAATTTTACGAAGTCTCCTTTGACCCTAAACCCTCGTAAAAAACCCTCAAAAAACGAAACGTCGACTGAAAAAGCGTGATTGACAAAAACGATATCCCCGTTGCTTTTTGTCCCAAAGACACACCCAGCTTGCTTATAAGCCACCTATATGACCCTGAAAACCCAGGTGATCCAGCAAGTGGTGATTTCGAACGGTGGTAAGCAAGACTGTTCATCTGCAATCTTCTCACGGCTTATATATTACTTACCCGAAGTTCTGAGCCGTTGATACCCAAAAAATTGCGGCTCTTTACCGTCTTCCTTCTCGCATTATTGCAAACTTTTCCTTATAAATGATTCCGCTGTTGAAAATGCCATCATGAATTCTTTTTCCTTTAATCTCATTTAACGCATGAAAATGGCTTCGCAATGAAATTGAGCATTAAAAAGAGCTTCTGTGGCTTTAACTGAATAGCGTCATTCGATTTATGTGATTCGGCGATAACTGAAGGGTAAAACATTGAAGTAATGGATTTTACAATGCAGATTTTTGTTCTGTTATCACTCTTTCTACGCGAAAGTTCCTGCGCGATTCAGCATACGAATGTTTGTTACAGCTGTGTATTTTGCGGTCCTTATGTTTTGTACATTCCACACGCGTAGACTGCTTTTAGCGGACATCTTACACTTCAAATAAAAATATTTCGGCAGATTAACATGTGTAAATAAAGAAAAGGTTTGCCTAGTGCTTGTGTTTGAAGGTGCTCCAAATCCCAATGCTCAAAGTCCCAATTTTATGGAAACAAAACGACAGTCATATAAATGTTGTAATAAAGAATAAGTAATACGGCCGTTTTGATGTTTTAATCCCATGCCTCAACGCTGAGTCCATCATTTTCCTCTTCTTTTCATTTAAACTTATTACGATCTACAAAGTGAAATTTGATCCAGAGACTATCTTATCTTTTCCGTCGTTCCCTCTTCCTTTTTCCAAATTCTCATCTCCCCCCCCCCTCCCACCCACTAACTCCTCACCCCTCGCCCCCATCTTCCCTCTCCCAATTTTTTCCGAAAAAGTATTGTTTGGTCGCAGTATGCACTTCCGTCGCTTCTCTAAGCGCCATATTTGTCTCATGGGAGACTTCAGTTGTAAATAGGTGTCCGCGAAACTCAGCTCTAGAACTTCCGACTCAGATTATTTTGATAGCATCGACTGGAATTAGCTGCAATTTTGGTCGGTTGGGGGTTTGAGACCACAAAATTATATTCTTTGCGATTTTTGCGATAGAGTGACCTTCTAGAGTCAGCCTGATCGACCTTGAATCTGATTGCTTTCTCTTGCGTTATCCTTATCTCTAGAGATGAAACTGAAAAGTTATTTCGTTGCACTGACTGTAAAGAGTTCTTTCACTTTCTTCCATTGACTTTTCCGCCAGTGTTGACCTTGTATCTCCAAGCCTCCGCCATCAATTTCCTGTCGATTTTCCGCCCGCCGAACGTTCTGTCATTTTCAAATCGCCCCGTTCGGCATCGCTTCATTTTTATGCCACTACTATTTGTCCGTGAACAAATCGCTTGAATAATAGATCAGGTTAGTCGTCGAACCGCTGCTGGCTGCCCGGCTGCTGCTGCTGCGGACGGAAGTACGGACGGACTGGCGCGTGTACGAAGTGGGCGGAGTCGATCCTAATACTCAGCCAGGGAGGAGGGTGCCGCGACGACCAACGACGACAGAATTTGACTGCGTATTATGAATACGCCATCGACTTTGGTCGAGACGGTCAACATCAATCTGGAAGACTTCTCGGAAACGTTTTTAACTTGCTCGACATGCCTTTATACATATGATCAGGTGGGGAACAATATATGATTCTTGCTTTTCCAAAAAAATGAGATTTTTTATTTAAATTTTTTTCATAATTTGTCATTTGAAATGCTTCTACAACATTCGTGTTTATATTATCTTAGATTATTGTAGCATACTCCGAGCGCTTGCGATAAAAAGTAAATGAATAATCCTCATAAATGAACCTACATCGACTCTGATTATTCATACACCACCTCCGAATTTTTTGCAGAGCCTTCCCCTCCCCCCTCCCTGCAAGGCACCTTTTCTCTGCTGTATGTTTTACGGTTTACTATAGCTCCATTTTGAGCGCAAGGAATAAGCATCTAAGTAATCAAAGCTTCCAAATGATTACAACTAACATCGATTATCCACCTATTTTCTCTCCCATTTTTTTTTTATTGTACTTACCTCCCCCCCCCCCCATCCCGCCTACCTTTTCTCTCTGCTGTACGATTTACGCTCTGCTGTGCTCTTTAAGTGTGCATATGCACGCAAAGATCGATTCTGTCCTCTCATTTCATTACGATTCTTAGCACCCGTCCGTCTCTCCCTGTGCGTGTGTGTGAGTGTGCTAACAAGCCAATCTGTCAAGCTCCCATTGACGGTGGTAATGCGTTAATAGGGTCGGCGTAGTTTAGTGGGAATAACAGGCTGTTATGAGCATCGGAGAGGACCTGCTGAATTAAAATTGGCTTTACAAGAGTTTTGGAGGCGCTGCACCTGCGGGAACTTGGGTAGGCGAAATCAAATTATTGTTAAGGATGTGAAATCATCACTGAAAAGTTTGAGAACTGCATCTCGGCAAAAATGCTGTCTTGAGGAATCAATCAGGGAACCATAGCTATTTTCCAAGCTTATACATTTCCCTTCCATCTTTGCATTAAGACAATTTATTTCCGCTCTTTATCGTAAAAAAAGCCAAAGCTGAGATGAGAGAGAGCAACAAAGGGGATTCCAAGGTTTCTTGTTCTTATATCAACTCTTTGAAATATTACTAGAACGGGAACTGAATCATAGAATTTCAAGAATAACCACTTTTCGAAGTTTGGATGCTGATGAAGTAGAACATAAATTATTTGGTTTAGTACTTTTAAAAAACTCTATTATTCGCCTGTTGTGCATCCCGTTTCATACTTTATTAATGGCTGAACTTTTTGTTACCTGATTTACAGCTAAAATTTTGGATTTTGACCCACTTCATTTAACACATAAAATCTGAATTTTTCAGCTTACAAGAAAGCCGAAGCTTCTGCCTTGCTCACATTCAGTGTGCCTTTCGTGTCTGGAACAATTAGCTGCACTACCCCAGGTAAATCTCACACTTATCTGTTATGCGTATATGCATTTTCATCATAAAAGCTTTTATTGTTGATCGAATCAAGCAGAAAACATCAGCTTCTCGACTTTCTCTAAATAAAACTAACTTGTGGGTCAACCATAGGACTTAGTTCTATGTGTGATGCAACAAGATATTCTAGTTTCTAGCTTCCTAAAGAACTTTAGAGTGATTGACCAAACGGAGCTCTGCCAACAAGATATTCTAGTTTCTAGCTTCCTAAAGAACTTTAGAGTGATTGACCAAACGGAGCTCTGAATTCTTACGTCTGAATATATCTTACGTCGAGTCTGCGTGAATTACGAAGGACCGGATCCATCTTCAAAATAGGTGTCATCGTTGCGTGCGCCCCATAAATTTTGCATTAAGATCTCATATCGCATTGAATCAAGATTATTCATGGCCACAAATTAAAAATAGTCTGGTTTTTCGTTCGCCGACAAGCGCGATGTGCTTCATTGCGCATGCGATTCTCAATTTGAATTTCTTGCTCGATTTTCCGCGCTTCTTGGCATTTCCGATTGATGTGAATGTGATGGACATTCCACGCCGCTTAGAAGGCGAGAAAGATTTTTCTCGTCTTCATTTCTACAAAATGCTTTCCCAAGAGTTTATGCAGTTGACGGATGTAGTGGAAATTGAGCGAAAATGCAGTTGAACCGCAGTCTTTGCGCTCTTCCCCGAGCGGGAATGTTCTTTGTTCGAGTCAAGGAGGCTACCCGCAGTGACATGTTGTCAGCTAAGAATTCGTCTATTCGCCACTCATTCATTCGGGAGTAGATGGAATATGTGGGGCAAGAAAAAAAACTTTTACAAATAAAAAGGAATCCACAGCGAGCTATGTATTGTTTTCAAACTGAAACCGAAATCCACAGCGAGCTACACATATTTTTCAGATTTAGAAACGGTAACGATATGAAGTAGGATTATTGACAATATCAGCACAAAGTCCGTTCTTGTCTAATCCTTTTCTTTTTCAATCGGCCCACTCATCCTTATTCTTCTTTTTTTGCGCCGCAAGATTGCTGAGCAATTGCCCATAATTTGCCCAACATTTTTTCGGTACCCTTGATGTAGGCCAAGAATCATGAAACAATCTGCTGTTTCGGGCCATAGATTCTTCTTTGTATGATTACCCAATCTTGAGGAAAAAATTGTCGAGAAATGCTTTTATTTTTTTGCGAGGTAGTGTCATTTTCATTTCGAGGGTCTACCTTTCCTTAATCTTTGCATTTATGGTAATGATGAACTGATGACGATGTCAACTAAAAATTCGGAAGGGAAGTTCACAGATTGAATCTGTGTGCTTTGAAAACTCATCCCCTATAAAACAAATCGCCAACATAAATTATGTAGCAGAGATAAATTGCCTAACCTTCAATAGTACACATGCTGAAATTGGCTTGCACTTCACATTTGCAATGATTTGACAATGAGAGATTTTTTCGCTTTTAATACGTTTTTTTGCTGATTGCTGAGCTATCGAAATGAGAAGAAAGGCAGCAAACAGGTTTTGGAGCTATTTTGGACTATCTTTTCACTTTTTTGATCGACTTCACGGCTTATTGAGCCTTTTTTGAGACGTATGAATGGTTTTGTTTGAAATTCGCGGACTTTGGTGCAGGCGTGCAGATCTTAAAGATGAAGAAAAATGTCATGCTCAGCTCAAATGAGGGACAAAAATTTGAAGTTCGTGGACATTTCCAGTGTAGGTGTGCACATCTTATAGAGAGGCAAAAAAGGGTCCCCTTAGCTCAGATGAGGAGCAACAAATACTGTATGATTAGAAATGTTTTCAGAATTGATATGAGAAAAGTAATTCGAATCAAAGATTTTGCGCATTTGCGTTTTTTATTTTCTGCAATTATAGTCGGCCAATTCACGATTTGATATGTGCGATTGCACACAACTGCCTATTGCCGTCGTTTTTTTTTGATTTTAGTAGCTATCTCATGTACAAGTTCCATTAACCTTGTTATATGGTTGCCCAACGCGTTGAATGTGGATTGGAAAAGACACAAGCACTTTATCGGAAGAGATAGTTCAATTAATTGCTGTTTTTTTTTGTTCATTGTCTGTTCAATCTGGCGCATCCTGTGCATAATGCATTACTGAATAGCAAATAAATGCACAAATATTTAAGCGTTTGTTTGGCCACAAAATCCGGCATTCTACGTACAATGTGCATGTTGTATTCAGCAGCACTATTGAGTCACGAACAGATTCTAACTGTACCACTTCTGTCGCTCTTCAAAATCTTTTTCGCTATTCCAGCACGTCACTTGACTTTTTGCCCCTCTTAGAAGCCGTTGTATAAACTAGTTTACAGTAAACCCACTTATGCTCTATGGTTATGCTCTATGGTTAGCTTTGAGAGGGTCTAGCATCACCATTCCCACCATTCAACACCATTCAACACCGTTCAACACCATTCAACACCAGACACTCACTTATGCTCTATGGTTAGCTATAAGGAGCCTTTTCACCATTCCACACCATTCAACAACATTCAACATCATTCAACACCAATCCACACCATTCAACCCGTTCACTTCCAGAACGATGCACTTTCGTTGCGTTGCCCGATGTGTCGTGAGGTTTGCGTGCTACCAGCCGGTGGAGTTAGCGCATTGCCAGCCGCGTTTCTCATCAACCAGCTGCTAGATGTCATGCAGGTATTTTTTGGTTTCGCATTTTTGGTCCGTTCTCTCTATAAATCCCAAAAATCTGGCCAAAACTGTTTTCTTAAAGCATCCTGAATCAGCTGACTATGGAAGTTGTGCGCTTGTGTGCTAGAGTTTTTGTTTATTTTCGTCTTCATGATAGTAGAGGGTGCGGTGTCGGCAAATATTTTCGACGGCACAGCCACGGCGGGAAGTATTCACTTTCCACAAACAAATTTCACTTTGTCATCCCCTCGTCCGAGCACCCTATTGTTGAGGGGACCTGCTAGATTTTGTTAGCAAGTCGGCTGGAACTGTGGAAGTTTATGGTATTTTTTCCTCAATCAAAATCAATCTTCAGCTTTCTGATTAGGCTCTCTTCTGTTTTGACCTCTACCAACATCGATTTAGAATTTTATTAAACCCAGTCGCTCAAATTTGTGTTTGCGATGAGAACACAAATTTGAGCGTGCACTCAAGAGTAATGAATGTGGATGACAGGAAATGGAAGTTGGTAAATTTTTTAAAAATCGGAAGAAGCAGGATTCTGAAATTTCTCCTCGAAATGTCGTATAAATACCATATATAAGCTATAGCTCATACATCGTCATACCATCACATCTATTTAAGCTGTGACTGTGAATTAGTATAGGTGTGGGCCTCGTGGTCATTTTTTTGCATTTTGTGTATGTGTAAGAAATAATTTTTTTGGAAAGATGCCGCTTTGTTTTAACGTTTTCTGATTTTCTGCTGTGGACCATAATACTAACATTTCGAAGCAAAGTTGCCCAATTGTTGGATCACAGCACTACAAGGATGTAAATAAGCAAGTAAATAAATAGATAAATATCGTTTCTTGCACCGTATTTTCAAGTATTGATTTAGCCGTATTGCTTTTAGATTTGAACAGTCTGTTAGACATTTTTCTTGGAATTTAGATTGCTTACCACCAGTCTCCTTTTCCAGAAGCAACGTAAGGATGTGGTACCATCTTGCACTGTCCATCCTAGCGAACAGTTGCTCTACTGTGAATGTTGTGATTTAGTATTCTGCCAACAATGTCAGTCAACAGTTATCAAGTAAGTGGTTTTTTGCAGTTTTTTCCAATAACATTGTGCAACAATGCTGATGGATGTCCATGGTTTTACTTAAAGTGAAGAGCTCAAATGTCCAATGGAGGTGGGGGGGGGGGGGGGGGATAGTAATCCTCAATGCATAAGCTGCTTGCCATTGACGACATATTTCTCTTTACAGACAAAAGGTTGATAGCTTTGCATTTTGCACACTGTTTATTTGGCACACGCCATAGGTGATCCACTTGATTTGCTTGATCCACTTGATCCACTTCATGTAAAACCCCCCGTCACTAATTTGTCATTTGGCGTTGCGTAGGTAAAAAATTGTATGGTTAGGAGAAATTCGCTGTACGCGACGGCAGATGACAAAGTAGTGGCAACGGGTTTTACACGAATTGGATCATGGGATCAAGTGGATCAACTATGGCGTGTGGCAGTGAGTTGCAGGTTTTAGGTGACTTATGTTGTTTTATACTTACCAGTAGGCAGGCGGTTATGCAGTGCCTTTGCGGTGCCAACAACCCTTGCGCGTAAAAAATAGCCGGGGCATCCATTATATTGGTGATGCTTCCGCTCAGCTATCTTTTCTTTTTATCAAACATTTCATCAAACATTATAAAACTTGGAAACTCCCTACTCTGACGAATCTTATAGATTAGTTGTTTATTTGCTTAGTCATTTAAGTAGGGTAAAACTATTCCTTATTTTCAAGCTATACAAGAGATGTCTTTCACAAAGTATCAATCATCCTTTTGATTTCAGCAAGAAATGCACTCAACATACTGTGATACCGTTTTCAATTGCTTTGAAAAGGATGTCCGAGATTGTTGTCTACCGAGCAAAGGTATAATTTTCTCTTTTTTCACTTTGTTTTCTCACATACAAACCGGTCGTCCTTTCTCGTGCAATTGGATCCAATTTAGGGACGCCTACGCGCTCTTGATCAAGCTCATGATTGTGTTAGTCAGGAAATTGATCAACTGGACAAAAATGTCGATAAAATTCTGGACCAAATCAACAGTACATTTCAGGTTGGTGCTCCAAGCGCTTTTGCATTGTATTGGCAATTGTCGCCTGTGCCGTGAAGAAAATTTCGTGAAGTATCAAAATGCACTGATTTGCGCTTTAGTATAGCTGACGTGGTCCCAGATTGGGCTCATAGTGTAAGCAGTATCAAAAATAAGTTCCTTGTTCATCTGCCACCATTTTACGTCGAATAGCTGAAGGTTTTTTTTCTGTAAGTTTGGTAATAGCTCATTTGTGAAATGGCACTGGGAGCCATTTATCACTGGGGTGTTGCGCTATCGCAATAAGCTTCTGTTGTCAAAATACAAAAATATGCGATATGTAGATTTTTTATTAACTGGGAAGCTGATCAACTATATATGTGGATTGTTCTATCCCGATGACTGATAGTGTTTTGGCAGTTGGCTAACCCTTTTCTGCATATTACAATACGCTCTTCTATAATTTCTATCAGAAAAAAATCTATACGAACTTTAAGAATTTTTAAAAAGATCAATCAGCCGTGAATGCTATGAAGCGTATCAGTTCTATAACGTTCAGCGATTTCCATAGTATAATTTTCCCATGTAGCTTTTTCAGTCTCCGGTACTTTTAAACATCTTGAAAACTGTTGGGAACCTTTGCTTAGAAATCTTGAAGCCTAGACACAACATGTAGACTGGTTTTTTTTTGTCGTATCTATGCGAAACGCTGAACTCCGTTCGATGACAGGAAGGCCATGCGAAACAAAGGAAAAGGGGTAGAAACCACTGTTATTTACGTTTTGGAATTAACTTGATTAGGATAGAAATGGAGTTCCCGCATAATATGCGAGCAAAGGCAAATTTATTGAAAGAGTTGGTGGGAGCTTCAGGTGTCTCATGGGAATAAGAGAAAATTGAAGTTTGATTAGTGATCATTTAAAAATCCACTTCCCTTTGTTTGATTATTAGGAGCTTGATTAAGGCAACAATTCTTGCTAATTTAGAAACCTGTCTGCCTGTTAAATTTTGGGAAAACTAAAACGAAATAAATATTGCGGAATGAGTTGAACTGGTTATCCAAAACACTCTGATCATATTCAAAATATTCTACATTTAGAGAGAGAGAGGAGAAGGAGTAGAGAAAGATTGCAGATTTATAATTTGACTAGAAGTCTAGAATTCAATCTTAGAGATTTTGACAGGCTATGAAAGATTAAATCAATAAAAATCTTTTATCTGTTGGGTTATAAGAATATGTACCTAAATACTTAAGGTAAAGTAAACGCTTTTGAATAGCTGTAGATTTTGCATCAAAAATACAGAAGTAAAATAATTAGGCGCTGTTACGCGAGAGCAACTCTTTTTTGGTGACTACGGGGCTGTGCAAGCAATTTGAAAATTTACTTTGTCTGGTTCATTGAGACCACATTTTGCTTTTTCCTTCGGCGTGTAAACATAACTTTTTTGCTTGTGCTAGCTTCATTTCCTTTCCCTGATTCTTGCCAGTAATTGTCCTTACTATCTCAGCCGATATTGCTGTGCCAAACTCGGAAAAAAAGCCATCGATTTTGCTTCGAAAAAAGCTTCTCTTATCTCGTGTACGCTATTGCGATCATCAGTTCGCGTGTGTCTTGCCTCGTTCTATTGCATAGTTTTGATGCGACAAAGCGTTGATGACAAGAAAATGATGAAGAAATCGTTAGATTATTCAATGTTGGGTGTTCGAGAAGAAAACTGCGTCAGTCGTTCCTCAGTCATGACTCTAATGTCCTTGTCCTGCGCGTAATTAGATTATGTTCTAGTTTCAGTCATTTTGTGGGTGTTATTTATGTGGGGCAGAAATTTTTGAAATTGTCCGGCTATGCCCTTTTCTTGACGGACAGAAAACCTAAGCTAATCTAATTTTTCTTACTTTATCAGTTCTTCTTTCATACATCATTGAAGCTATAATTTTGGAAGTAACTACAGATATTTGGTGAATAAGATTATCATGCTTATGTATTTTCTCACAGGACAATAAACTCCCCGCTTTTCTTTTTTTCTACAACCTCAACACCATTGCTTTAGATTTGCATGTTACACAATAAGCTTTAGGGGGGGGGGGCAATAGACATCTACTTTTTTCACGTTTTTTCTACTTTTTTGAGTCAAATATCTCCGAATTGGTCGTTTTAATGGCAAAATGCTTCATTTGCTTGTTTGAGAACTTTGCAGGAGATTGCTATACTGCTCATGACCTATGCATGCATAATTTATTCTTTTTACCACCATTTAAGTTTTTTAAAGTACCGAGTTTGGCAAAGGTGAACAGTGTATTTGCATTGATGTCATAGTCAGGAAATACGAATGAATAAATTTCCATAAAATGAAATGCATAAAAATGAATACATGCAGTTTTTTGGAGGGAGGGAGAGGGTTGAAATACAAGCGTATCTTTTTAAGAGTCCTCAAACAAAATCGCTAGAAAAGTCCGAAGTCTTTTATCGCAAATTCTTTGCTTGAAAGCTGTTTGTACGAGATGAATTTTGGTGATAAACAGTAAAACCATGCGTCTGTCACTTATATTTACTGTCGGAAAGGCTTCTATAGTGCTATCCTTTGTGAAGTTTGAAAAATCTCTCATTCCACGCTATAACCTACAATGATAAATCTTGACTGTAGAGATCACGGTAGCTTTATCACTATGAACTATACTCTGTGTTCTCATAGGTAACGCTATTCTTTGTTAGCTAAGGGCTAACTTACTGTTTATCCATGAAATTCTGGAATTCTGGACTTAAAAGGACATCAAGGTTGTTTCCTACCGGTGTTATCCGAAAAATTTCACTGCAAATTGCACTTTCTTCATTTTGGAACTGATAATAAATCAGCGATTATAGCGACCAGTATTAGGGATGGGGTAGGACGAGTTTTGAGGGGAATCGTTTATAATTTGCACTTAACTCAGGCCTCTGTATAAATGGATCTACCCGAGACCTTTGATTTTTCTTCGCAAATGGAAAATTTGCGAATGAAGGTTTAAATCGAGAATATTATGAGGTTTTTGACATACTTAGCATGGAATGACTGATTTTTTTTCACCGTAACCGCCGCCGTCTGTAATTTGCGGTGACGTCACGAGAACAACCAAAATCATATGATGCGTCATTTACATGAGATGACTACTTGTTTCTGACACTTGGCGATGTATCCTGTTCGAGAGAACTTTTATTCAAAATTGTATCGATTTATCTTTCAAATTCTAATTTTGCATTACTCTTGAAATTTTTGGTTTTGTTGTATCGTGAACTGCAATTTTCCAGAACATCGCGCAATTACAGTCTTTATAGGAGTAGATGGGACTTCTGAATTTTCTAAACCGGACTTTTCGCCCTAAAACCTTGCAGCGAAACAATTCGGCGGATTCTTTTGACTTCTTCTCATTTGCAACCTATGATCACAATCTGGAAATTCTTGTTTCGTGAGAAGTTCTTTCTCGATTGGAATGAAAATTATCTCGTGACTGGAAATCTTATGAGTTCGTTGTGTAAGCAAACAGCTAGATTTAGCTTTGAGGCATCAGTCCTGGCGTCTTTATGTCTGCTTTTAACTCAGAGCCGCTGCTTCCCCTATTTTTATTCTCTGTATTCATTTATTCCTTTTTTTTATTTATTTCCAAATTATGTCCCATTTCCTTGTTTCATGAAAATCTTGGCAAGTGAGAAGTTTAAGCAGTGTTTTTTTGTCATTCCTAGAGCAATTTATTCAACTGTACCACTCATATGCCTATACTTACGAAACTTATTATAATTTTACTTTGTCGATTTTTTGATAGATTTCGCTATTTTCTTATTCGTCTCTGCGTCATAAAGTGGAAGCTAAGCCTCTTGAGTTCATGCCTTCCATGTCGGGTGATTTTCCCTCCTTTTAATCGGCCTGTCTATCTCTTGCTAAATCAGGAGATCGACTTTTGCGGCAAGCTAACAAATGCATGAATATAAGCATTTGGTGTGCGATCGGCCCTTATTTTTGCCTACCTTATGACAAAATATTTCTGCTGTAAATAATGCATCTCATTTTGCGTAAGAACTGTTTTTCAACGGGTTTGTCTCTGCAACTGAAACTAAATATTTGTTTTCAAACTTGCAAAGGTTGAAGTCATGATTTTGCAAGAAGTTTTAGACAATGACTGTTGAGGGATTGGCATGGATGTAGATCTACGGTAGCGGAATTTTTTTATTGCGGGAGTTGAGCAGTTTGTTCGTTGAAAAGATGAAACTCAAAATGGGATTTCGGTTTTTCGTTTGCAATTGTCACTGAACCTTCGCATTTTTTATATTTTTTAAATAACCGTTGAGCCTTGTGCCAAGTTTTCAATTTTTTATTCCTAAGGTATTGATTCTTCTGTTTATATCGTGCTGAACTTCTGTGTGGTACCGTATCCTTCCTGAACTTATTTACGGTAGCTCCTCGAGTGCATCTGTATATGTGCCATTCGTAATTATGCGCAGGATTGGCGTACACACAAATGCTATCGAGTACGCAATCCCATCCCAAACAGTTTTCTTTCGCATTTGATGAATCTGTTAATTTTTTAAAATCAAACCTCTGCAATCTTTAACTTCCCTCTCGTAAATTTTACCACAGCAGTATATAAATCACCTGATCAGTTCTTGTATAGGAACAAATCTTTCTTACTATAAGTTTTCCAGATAAATTCATAATGTTCCAGCCGCCTTACAGTTGATTTACTTTAGGAAGTGTCGAATACAGTCGAGAATCGTCGTCGAGATCTTATCGAAAGCGTACGTGTTCGAAGGGACGAAAAACGTAAAGTCCTAAAAGATCAGATCGAGGCGATCACGGACGAGAAGAAAAAACTCGCTAAGGTATGCGATCTTTGCCGATTAGTCTCTACTAACATCACTAGCAAGATTAACTTTCTCAAGTCGCTCAATGGATTTTGTAAATCTTTCTACTTCGTTTTTTATCACTGTATCCCTATATCTTGTCATTCCTCTCTCTCTCTACACGTTTTTTTTGGGGAATCTGTATAGCTGACGATAGCAAGCAAATACTTGTGGGAAGCTCAAAGGTCTTTGCTGATGATTGACGTCAGCTACCTATGTAGTGATATGATAACCAGTGGGTACGTGATTAGTTGATAGTTCAAAGAGGAATCAGGAGAAAGGGAGTGGAAGATGAACCTGATAAGGGAAGAAGCTGATAATAGCAAATTCTTCAATAATATTCTGATCCGTATGTTTTAATGTATCCCACTGTCCCTGAATAGATTTTTTGCACTGTAGCATTTTTTAAAAGTGACATTTACTCAATCTATCATTTGTGTAGCATATGGATGCTATATCAGAGGTGATCCAAGCTGGAAAAGTTTGAACAACTGAAACTGTGCAGATCTCGCCCCTCCCCCTCCCAATCTCTCTCCCCTCCTCTCCCGGAAACTGATTCCGAAACCATAAGTTGATGTTTTTTATGTAAGTCTAAAATTATCTGCATTATGTTTTTTATTTTTGAGAAAATGTGTGCCACCCCTTCCTCCATTTCTACAGAGAAAATTGTAACCATGTTTCCTGAGGAAGATGCTGCGAACCATGTGGATGCGAGTCGAAAAGGGAATGTCTTCTTGCTTGCTAGTAGCGTTTACCCTTTTTACCGCACCCTTCCCATTTCTTTGACCTTTAAGTTTTGCAGATCAGGTTATACTTTTTCTCGTGACAAATCTGCACTAGTTGTGCCGGTTCCAGAGATGATCATTGAATGTTTCTTTTTTTCACGAGACAAACTTTTTGTACATTTAGTGATCTCATCTTCAATAATCTATCGTTTTCGAGCTGTCCCAGAAATCTCGCTTAGGACGGGAAAGAAGGGAAGAGTGGGGGGGGGGGGGGGAGGGGAACCCGGCATGTTTTGAAATGAGGGCGTGTTGTGAATGTTTGGGATGCTTCTCGTGTTTTGCGGACTAGTCCCCTCCTCCTCCCCTTCCCCTAAGTTTTTGAGTTGAATTTAATTTTTGAGAATTTAGATTTTTGATTTATCAAGTAAAAACAGGCCACTTGCGTTATTTTAGATTCATGTCTTTAACGAAAATTTTGCGACCTATTTTGAGGAGAAGGCGTGGGGGGGGGGGGGGGGAACAGTGGGTGGTAACCTACGTAGATAAGTTATCGCAATGATGCGAAAACATGTATTTATCACCTGCCATATGAGCTAGTCAGCGGTTGCTGCTATATTGATGGAAATTTTTGAATAAAATGGAAGGTTTTTGATTTGACTGGATTTATGAAAGAGGAATGCATAAAATCACATCTCTAGTATAAATGGAAATTCAATTGCCTGTCAGTGGTTCTGGTTCTCGTTCCATTTTTCTTATCCGTGAAGAGACTGCAATGTTTATGTTCGCATAAACACAACGGCATTGTGTGCAAAGTAAAACAGCTGGAAGAAATATACAATCTGCAGCGCATGATTAAAAATGTCATGCATGCTTGCATGATTCATTCTGCCGCATACAAGCACAGTATCATCTTTTTCAATAATGTTATTAGTCAGTTTCCCAAGTTTTTGTCGTTGGAGCGGGAAAATAATTAGATCAGAATTTTTCATTTTTTCTTCTCCAACAGAAATATAGAGTCGCTTTATTTTTTGTTTACACCGTAAGCCGAGAAAGTATGTCCCTTGACTCATCCATATCTTTCTAGAAGCCAGTAGCGTTTTGTCTCATGATTCAGTAATGTTGATGTTAGAGTAGTCATCCGACTGTAACTTTGTTCAAGAAGAGGGAATTCCCCGCCCAGTATCAAGACCTCTCTATCTTTCTCTCAGGGGGGGGGGGGAGGTTTGGGGAAGAGACATTACAGCCCTCATACCTTACAATATACATCTTCCTTCACGATCAAATGTGACCATATTATGCCGCACTTGCTGAATTTCCCTTTATAGGAATTGGAATCGTGCCAGCTAGATGTACGCTCTATGGCACGCCAGCTGAAGGCAATGGAAAGCGGCTGGGAACGACAGCTTACACAACCGAGAGAGAATGCTTTTTTGAAGTTGAATACGAATTCGAATCAGTTGATTTGCGGTGAGTTTAGCTTAGTTTGATGTCTGCAAGGATAGTGATGTGAAAATTCAAATAGCCCAATTTTCTCGCTTTTTTCGCACCAGCTGTCATGGGTCAAGCGAGATATCGTTTTTGGAACAAAGCAAAGGGGATAACGTTTTTGTGGCCGAAAAGACACCAAAATCGCGACTTTTTTAGTCGAGATTTCTTTTTTCAAGGGTTTTTTTACGTTTAGGGTTTAGGGACTTCGTAAGAAATTTTTAAAATCAAAGGGGACTTCGTTTTGAAAATTCGTCGTGCCAGCTCGTACCGAGCCCTAGTATAGGTGATATGAAAATTTTTGTGGTAGAAAGAAGGGAAGGGAAGAATTTGAATGTAGACGGAAGGAAGGGGGGAGGGGGGGGGGGGGAAGGGAGTCCGAAAAGTTTCGAAAAAAGAAACTTTCACGGTCAGAATTGAGTGGTGTCATCAGAAAATAGTGAAACAGTTCCATTAAAATCTTCACTTATAAAAGCACGTATATTTGTATGTATACATGTATTCTAGGAATTTCTGATAACGGGTTTTTTCTTTTATGTCTCGATTTTCTCGCGGGAAATTTTGGTTTCTTGTGATTTCAGAAAGAATTTTATTTTTTTTTGTGATTTTTTTTGCAAATAGCCGATCAAACGCTAATCTCATGCATATTGACGGTGAAAAAATTTTGATTTTTATTTATATAAATTTGTTAACAATTTTATGACATGGATACGTCAGCCGTGAGAAATGCTAACGTTTTTAGCTTTTGTTTTTGAGACTTGAAATTCTGATAGATTTTCTCTGTTTCAGGGAGAAAATAAAATTTGTTCATAATGAGATCAGGGATTCAAATGTGTCGTCCATACGTGGAGAAGTAGAGAGCTTTGTAGAAGGTCTTTTGAATGCGGTGATGTTCCAGATGTACAGCGATGTCTTGGCGAATTTGGTGCATTGGCAGCTTCGACCACCTTTCCTGGTGAAACTATCGTCGAATTGACCGAACCGGCTTCTACTTACACTGAAGTGAAGATGATAGTAAGGTAAGGCGCGAGTTCTTGAATGTTTTGAGTTTTTAAAATTTCTTGTTGAAACGGACCTAATTTTAGTGTTTGCTTTGAGAACAAAGATCTATGCTCAGACCCTGTTTTGTAAAACTTTAATGTTCATTTCTCAGGACGTTTGATGTCGACGGAAAGGCTAGAACTTCTGGCGGAGACCCGCTCGATGTTCGTCTTCGACAAGATGAAACTTCATTACCAATTTCCATAAACGATCTCAATGATGGCACTTATGAACTTACATTTCGGTGCGTTAGGAAATAATGATTTTGTTGTTTTTACAATAGTAATTCAACATTTATGATTTTTTAGGGTACAACAATCTGGTGATTATATGGTTGATGTGGACATTTTTGGCCGTCCAATAAAAAACAGTCCCTTCCCCGTTTCGGTTTCATCGCATCATCCACCGAAGTGAGTTATTGGACTGAATGATTTTGAAAGAAAAACCGTGAAATCTCCGTGATAGTTATAGGTGGCAATTACCAGTTGAACTATATCAACCAGTAAAAGTAGCGATGAATGGTGATCATGTGCTTCATGTTTTGGATACCGGTAATGAGAGAGGTATGTTTAAATGTTTTTATGCCCTTTTTTGAGGTCTTTTTATGATAAATGTTTTTTTTTTGTTGATGTCTGCAAAAAAGGTGCTCACACATTTCACAAAATTTCAGAAAAGCGCTTTATTTTTGCTATTTTTTCCATTATTGAAGGCTGTTTGTAGTTCGGATAGTCAAGGAAACGGGTGAAGTGATCAGCGACCTGAAGCCACCATGTCTCGTCGGGGGCACCGCAGTAGGCTTGGCTCTTCTGTCTGGTGGTGATATGGCGGTCTTGAATTGGAGGACGAAGAGCATAACTAGGCTAGGACCCAAGGGAGATGAAATACAGGTGAGATTTGCCACACCGAATTTTCGAATAGTAATGGGATAACTTTGGTTTAAAAGAAAAAGGGCGAAATGCTGAGTGAATAAAAGATGCATTTCTTCTCTGAAAATAGCGAAAAAATGTCGACCATTTTCATGATTCGCCCAATATTTGCTTTATTTGCTCGCCTGGCAGGAAATTATGTTTTTTTTTGTAGAGTATCAACTTCTCCGAGTTCAACGAACCCATTGACTTGGCTGCTGATCACCGAGGGAGATACTTGATTGCTGATGCTCAAAAGGTAAAGATTCTAGTACCATGTCCTAATTTCGGAGAAAATTTTAGAATTTTCACCATTCTTTGTTATCCTTTTTTGGCACGGCTTAATTGCTTTTTTGGAGAAACTCTAGAACGAATTTTTTTAGATCTTCGTGTTCGACTCGAATATGCGGCCACAGTTCAGTTTTCCTACGCGTGGCCAGACTGTCACATCTGTGAACGTTGGCTTGGATGACGACATTTTAGTAGGCACCACACATGGGCTTCTCCTTTTCGATGGTGCTGGCCGGTTTTTGAGAGAGATTCCGATAGCTCCCGAAGAGCATAAGTGAGTTCACATGGCCAATATCGCTACTTTTGTGATTTTCGTGTTGTTTTAGGGGACGAATAATGGTATCCACATGTGCAGTATGTCGTGAGACAGGATTGGTTATCTCTGGTGTAGTGGATGCGAAGACGAATAAAGCCCAGTTAGCGGTGAGCAGTTTCTTTTAAGTGCTCAGAAGCCTGTTCTTTTTGATTTGATTGTTTACAATTTTTCATTATCGCTTATTCACTCAATAATCCATCTATTCGTGCAGCCATTCTCTATTCATTTATTTGTTCACTCCCTCATTCATTCATTCATTCTTTTTTCTTTTATCCTGTCCAGCCACTCTTCATCACTGGTTTGTGCGGCCATTCTCATTCGCCTATTTATTCTTTGATATAAGGTTGGAAACTAAGTTTTGCAACTCATTCAATAACTTTCCTTTCACTCAACATGGCGCACTCAAATTTTGTCACTGTGTTGGTTGTGACCTAAGCTACAGGTGCAGCTGCTATTCTACCAAATCCTGACGTCGCAGTAAGGGTTACGGTAGGTGTACGGTGGATTTTGTGGTTTCGACTCCTTAGTCATTGACGGTTGTCCCCAGCAACCTTGCGTACAGCAACTTGTTCGTATTTGTGAGGGCGCCAAATCTCGATTTACCCCTAAATTTTATTTCTTTCTTGGTGAGCCGAATAAGTCAACCTTCAGCAACAATTCGTACACGATTCCGGATTATTGCGCATGATCTAGGCTGCTAATGGCTTCATTTTGGCTTATAAGCCCAAAAATCCTCAAAATTCACTAGTTTCCGAAAAATGCCTGGAATTTTTCTAATTTGTTTTCAAAATTCACAAAGTTTTTGTGGATTGTAGCTCACATTACGCTCTACCTACTGCCAAAGTTTGAGTGCGCCTTATTTGAAGAGAGCTGAGTTATGAAGATAATTGCAAAACTTAGTTTCCAGCCTAATACATTACTGTTCACTCATCTAACCATGTAGTCATCCGTACCAATTATCGATTCCATTTATACCATTTATTTCTCTTTGTTTTTATTTATTTATGTATTTTTATTTATTTATCTATGTATTTATATTTTTATTTATTCATTCATTACAAACATTCCGTTCATTCATTCATTCAGTAACACTCGCCACTGATCAATTCATTTACTACTCATGCATTTATCCAATTATCAATTAATTAACTAATGATTTTATTTATTTGTTTATTCAGTCATAATTATAACTGATTTCATTCGTTCACTATCCAGTTGATTATCTGTTGGTTTGTTAAATAGCCATCCATCCATCCAAGGTTTTCACATTTATTGATTCACATTCAAGCGCTGCATTGCTCATCAATCATTCTTTATCTATTTGGGCTCTCATTGTCCACATCCCTTTATTTTATTTTATATTTGCTTAAATCTTACTAACTCAGAAATTTTCAGATCTCACGCTACAAAGGATCATTCGTATTCTACATTGACTCCTATGGTGCTCGCCTACGGCGACCATGTGGGATTTGCGTGGGAACAGGCACCCGAGCCGGGCAATGCTTAATTGTTGATCATGCATCGAATACTGTTCGAATGTATAGGTTTAAGTGAGATGTTATATTTGCCTGTGGGAAAGATCGCACGTTTCTTTCTCTACATCGAGATTTGGGCAAACTAAGGCAAAGCCGAATTGACGATAAGGAGAACGAAGGATTCTCTTTCAAACGTAATAATATAGGCATAATATTATTTTTCTTTACTCTGTGGAAGATGCAAATGCTTCATAATGGCATTTGTTATTGTTTTGTGTAGGTGCGGGTCAATGTCCTTCATTGAAGTTGATCGCTGGCTCAAAGCTCACGCTGTACAAAAATGCTTTCTCGAATACATATGATACGTGTTATGCCATAAGCACCAGTGATGACATTATGTCCATGTATAGCATAACTTTATTATTTGGAAAGATTTGTTAATAAACTGTTGATTCTTCTTTTTCGATTTATTGAAAGGTTATGCTGGAAAATAACAGGAACATATATATATGAGTGTCGCCAACAAAGTGGCTGGGAATGAACATTTGATGAGAAGCGCCAATCAGGAAAACCTATTGAAAATGTCATTGAACGCAAATCCTTATCAGAGAGTGCGTGGCTGTAGAGATGACAGACGATGGGGGTGATGAAAATGAACATAACCAAAGAGAAGCAGAGTTTTGGTATCGGCGCGAGGCCCATAAGCCTGTGAGTTAATGATACTAACAGAACTGGTAGTATCAATTATCTTACATCATACATTGTTAGTGATATTAATCACACAACTTTTCTTATGAGCGATCGAAAATTGATTTATGGAAGGTAAGTTGCCCTATAGGAAACATCAATCCATTGTTCATTGTTTGTGTAATCATACATCAAGTGCCGGAATATACTGATCGACTTTATGACTATTACTCTATGACTACTTGTTAGAATTTGAATTATGCCACGGCTGTACTTACTAACGCTTATCTCACTTAATTTGTAAGTGAATCTAGAACATCTTTATTAAGCATCTATCAAGCGGATATGATGTAATCTGTTTGCAAAGGTAATTGGCACATCGACACGTTTCTCTAGTTGAGTAAAGAACAATGCATCCTATAATGTCGGAGAGCTTGTCGCACGCGAATTGGAAAGGAAATTCATTGTTCAGTTTTTCCAATAGTTGCTGATATAGGCTTTTATATAGAAATGCTTGTCTCTTCATGTACAGAAATCCTGCTCAGTAATGGACAAAGCGATTTGATCCTGACAAGTTTTCTTCTCTTCTTTACCTTGATGGATGTTCGTATTTGCCACATTAATCGAGAGGAAACGACAGGATCACACATACAATATCCTTGATGCAAGTTGGGGATAAATATTGCAACGCTAATAAAAAAATAATATAGTATAGTTACTCATACCACGATTAAGCTAGTCCGCCGCTAAATTGGCTGAAGTTATGGTGGAGGTGGATGGTTAGATAGATATGGAGCGAATTGAAATGCTTTTTGGGATTGACAGCACAGTCTCTACCTTGGTACTAAATCGCTAAATCAATATGATAAGGAGTTTGGCGTCTTCAATACCCTCGCGGGCATGCGCCGAACGCACTCTACTTGAAACTTGAACAGGCTACCTGAATGCGTGCAGGCCTTTTACAGGGACTTGCGGCGGGTTCGGATACCAGGAAAGTGCTTTCATCCTCAATTACTCTGGCACCAAATTATCGACTTCGGAGGATAGAAGGCTTGGTTGGCTCAGGAGAGGGTCAAACTTTGGTCCGACCTAGTCCGAAGCTTTATACCACTACGCCACTCGGCAATTGTTATATTATCACTGTGCAAGCAATGAACGATTGGATGGCTCCGCTAAAGATGTACCTCAATCTCCATGAAAGTGTGTACATCTGATCCCCTAGAAAACGTTGCAATCTTCATGTTTATTGGAAACCTCTGCTAATATTTCATGATTGTTATATTTTCTCATGCTTGCAGGTGTTAGTGATCACGCGCAGTGACGAATACTTTTGGGCTCCATGAAAAAAGAGTGAGAGAAGCCGCAGCTAGTGATTTCCTCCCTGTGAATTGAGTATTACTTTCTAATGTATAACACTTTACAGTAGGTTTGCTATTTACTTACAAGGAGTGTATGTTTAATCGAAGTGGCCTTTTTAGATGGAACGTATACCATATTGAAGAGCATAAATTGCTGATTCCAAATCTGGCTTTCCTATCTGCAGAGCGTTTAGGGACAAAAAGTTATGCGCGCTTATTCAAAAAATTGAATGTGCAAGTAGGACAAAAATAGCCGTAATACTTTTTCTAGCTCTTTAATGGAGCAGTGATAATCATTAGAGCACTTTATTTGAAAAGTACTCTCAGATAAAAAATATATCACACTTGGCTGCATTATTTGAGGGCTGGTAAGATTTTAGCAACTCATTTATCCAAAACGCACTTTCAATTTTTGGCTTTAAAGAACGCTCAAAACTTCTCGCGCATGAATGCTCTGCAGGTGAGAAAGGCAGATTTGGAGTCAGCGTTTTATGCTCTTCAATATGGTATATATTTCATTTAGAAAGGCCACTCCGACTTAACAAGTTTTCCTTGTTAGTAAATATCATTTTTTTCCATCAGAAGTTGACTTTCACCACTAGAATCTCTTGAAAATTGCTGTTATTTTATGCATAAAGATTCTCGTGTGCCGTTGTCTATCTTGACTAGTTACTTTTGTGAAAGGTTCAGCTTCTAGATTGAGGACTCTTCTTCTCGTAGCGAAATCAACAAGCAGAGGTCTGCGACGGACAATCAAGCATAGTAACTCCCAACCATATGTAATATTGAGCCCCCTGGAGAGTTTGAGGCAAAATATACCAACTACATCTGGCATTATCACACTATGGAACTAGGCATTTTTCTTAGCGCTGAACTCTTTCAAGCAACGCAAGTTATAGTTTGATGCATCCTGTTCATTGTTTCTCGTTTAGGCGGAATCCTATCACAAGAAGCGCCAGCATGAGTTATGCTCTGAGATAAGAACTTATCATTACGTCAGTTGATGCCATGGTAAGCTCCTGCTTAGGCCGTACAAGAGATTACAACTTCCTTTTAGACAATTTCTCGATGTTGCTCCAGTTGGATTCTAAAGTCTTTTTGTATTTGGTTTTTTTCATAGACTCTTGAGTGTTCAAAAGCTTCGCTTCTCCCCTCTTCTTAATCGAAAAACATCTTCACTTATTGTCTATCGTATAAATTTCACAGTCTTCATCGCGCATATTTGCACGCACATTGCATTTTGCATGGATATATTAGGAAGAAAAAAAGAATGGAGAAAAGGAGGTTTTCTTCAAGTTTCAGATGCGATTCTTCATTGTGCTAGCCATTGCTGTCGCAACAGCATTTGCCATTCCTGGATCAGAGTCGGATGCACTCGAATGCGAGATGTGCGAGATGGCCGTAAAAACTGTGGTGCCTATGCTCGATCAAGATACTAAAGACATCGAGAATGTAAGGTTCTTCTTTGAGAAAAAAATGGTTGCAAAATAATGGTAATGCTATAAGCAATTTTGAGGTGCCAAAGCGCCCATTTCAGGCAGTAAACAAGGAATGCAAGCAGCTTCTCCATAAGATACCATTTGCCACCCAAAAATGCCAGAAGTTTGTTGACACTGATCTGAATAAGATCATCAAGGAGCTCGAGTCCGGAACAGCCCCAAAGGATGTGTGCAAGAATGTCAAAATGTGTTAAACAATCAATGGTTCTTGCTCACTTGTAGTTCTTAGTAAGTATCTAAGAATAAATATATGTGGCTTTATGTTGTCTGCCATTTATCTATAGAAAGCTTACGAACAGGTTATACAATGTGAGATAGGCCACAAGAAGGGAATGCTGCATTGATTGGCATTCTCCGCTGTGCCTGCTATACTATGACGCTTGATTTAGATTCTAAAAATTTGAGAGCCTCAAAGAACTTGTTGCGGGATTCACGAATTTGAGATGAGCTCGAGATTTCATCTTCTGATAAAAATGTTGATATCGTCTGTCCGGGTCGTCAACACATTTGTGCGACGTTTTCGCTTTGCACAGTGAGCTTATGTGACAATGTTGAAACATATCATGTTATTCCTAACATCAGTATTACGTCGACTATGACAGACCCCCTTTCCTCTGTGACGCTTAAAACGACCCCAAGTTCGGCGTGCTACGCCTTAGGCCTAAGGCATACCTCACGCGATTCGGCCGAATCGCCACTTTCACGCGACTTGGCGATTTGCCAGATTTCTATAAATTTATCGTGCGCACTTTTCGGAGGCATATTTAGGTAGCTTGTGTAAGCTGTTGCAAACAGAGTAAGTTCTGACCCAAGGCAGCGCACTGACGACAAATAACGAGGAGTCGCTGTTGTGTCAAATCGCGCAGCGACCGGAATCGCGCGAGGTATGCCTTAGGCCTTACGAAAGGGAGGGTCCCGGCAAAATGACAGATGTTGGGATTACAAGCGTCGCGATGTCAGGCCCCTCGACTGATCTATCAGCAAAGTCTGAGCGAAAAAGCGCGTCTGGAAAGCCTAAAATCCACTGTGGAAATCCTACGGACCCCTCATCCTCGTTCTGCACCCCTCCCACCACGTATTTTGCAGCGAATGAGCACATGGAAAGCTTTAAAAAAAGCTCATTTGCCAATTTTATGCGCTTAAAAGCCTGTTCAGCATGACGAGAGGGCTCATACAAAGTGAAAAATTAGAAAGCGAGTTTTTGGAGAGACACTGCCCTTAACCTTGGTCGTGTTCTCGGTTGTGATTGAAAGAATCTTTTTGCTCGACTCAGGTGGATAACGCCCTATAGTTTTGTGATTGAGTTTTGATCAGATCCCTTGACCAAGTACTCGCTGTAATATAGAAAACGGCATGCTTGCAAAATTCACGATATTTGTAATCGTCGTGCCAAATAATCCCCATGGATCCAAAGGTAGTCAAATCTGTTGATTTCGAAACCCGTGCCATATGCTATTTCCTACCAAGCATACAAAGGGGGGGGGGTGTATGCCGAGATGAACGATAGCTGCAAATAAGCATACGGTCCTCCTGCGGGTGTCACTATGACGCAAATATATTCGTCGTTTTTAGTGCTCTATGTTCTTCGCTAAATTGGAAATATTGTCGAAAAGTAAGTATTATGGTTCCTAGAGCTCCCAGCGCTTTTTCCGCGTTTTTTGATAGCATTATGGCTTAAATAGAAAATTTGAGAAAAGTTTGACCTACTCAACGCATACGGCTGGCACAAGCTATCGTTCATGTTGGCTGCCTCCCCAAAGGGGGGGGGGGGGGGGTCGTCTTCCAAAATATGGAAGGTTTATTTCACAATCCTTTTGTCGCTCTTGTCTTCTTTTTTGCGCTGCAACGAGCGGAATTTCCTTGAAAATGCGATGTTATCTTTTTGAAAACGAACCGCGCCAAGGTACTGTACGCAACGCTCGCAACGTGGCACCGATTTGCAATAATCTACTGTTTGCCAATCTTTCCGCCCAAACATTGTGCTTGCAATGCTGAATGCTTGTGATGTACAAAAGAGCACGTCAAGCCGGTAATTTTTTGGAATAAAAGGTATCAACAAGTTTTGTAGGTGCTCCGGGTCTCGCGGGTCTCCCGCATCCTACTCCCGGTTCTCCCGGGTCTCTCGCAAACCCTTCCCCTTCTAGGAATTTGCAACAAACATCGCCCCTCCATCACTGCTGCCTCATCTGGCTGTTCTGTGGGAGGAGCCTACCGATCACCTAATGTACCCCACCCCACCCCCAAAAACCCTCAAAAATGCAAATAATACCAAATTCGAATTATTTCACTCAGTTTTTCATCAAAATCCACTAAACTCAGCAAGTGGCAACTTCATGCTTGTAAGCCAAAAGATTGGTTGGCTTTTATGTTAATGACCTACATAGAAATTGCGCATGTTGACCGTCTCCCCTTACCTTCTACAGCTGATTTGAATTGTGTTCGTTATCTGAGGAGCGCTTCTCTGGAACGAGTTGTAAGCGTCGTTTTCCTCGTGGTTGCGTGTTTGCACAAGCGCACGCGTAATGTCGATAGATGTTGAAGGTGTCAAATGGTTTGGTGGATTATTGCCTAGAGGGCGGTTTGCTCTCCGTTAGTGCGGCGAGTTTTGCGTCCAGACAGAAGCTTCGCTTTAGAGAATTGTTTCGCACATAGTAAATACAGTTCTGACTTGAGCGTTTTTTTGTATGATGTATGACACATCCCAAAAGGCCACGGTCACTTGTATTCGTCCCTCGTAAGAAGTTCTTAATTTCCGCTTATCGCGGCGCAATCCTTGCTCAGTGATCGCGCGTACTATATTCGCGCCGCTTTTCTCCTTTTCGGGCGCGTTGCCAAGCCGAGATATATAGCCGCGCCTAGAGCGACACTCACTCTCCTTTTTATTAGGTTGTCCGGAAATTAATGCCCGTTTTGAATTTGAACCGAAATAAGTCATACACTTCTCACTTCTAAATAGATTGCAAAGTACCATTCGATAGAGCAAAGCAAGCTCTACAAAAGGCCACCTTGCTTTTGCGACAGCTCTCATCTACCTCGAGTTTTGATCTAAAAACTGAAAAGACTCAGCAGCCCGCAAAATCGAAAAAAATCGTAACTCCGCTCACAAAAATCCTACAAAAATTCTTACTTGCTCATTCAAACACTATCCACATAAAGCATCTATATACGCCTTTGCTGTATTTTTCCCTCTGTTAGAAACCAAGAAAACGGAAATTTTCGTGCATTTGCCAAAGTGATGCTGTGCCGTCCCCACATAGGTAGTTGTATACCACAAGCCTGTAGAAGTGCAGACTTAAATTTTCAGCTTTCTACAAGCTTTAGTTCTCGAGAAATTTCAATTTTAGCTCGGACCACCTAACTAGGGGAAGCTATACTCAGTATTTCTCTAGAACTAAAGCTTGTAGAAAGCTGAAAATTTAAGTCTGTACTTCTACAGGCTTGTGGTATACAATTACCTATGTGGGGACGGCACAGCATCACTTTGGCAAATGCACGAAAATTTCCGTTTTCTTGGTTTCTAACAGAGGGAAAAATACAGCAAAGGCGTATATAGATGCTTTATGTGGATAGTGTTTGAATGAGCAAGTAAGAATTTTTGTAGGATTTTTGTGAGCGGAGTTACGATTTTTTTCGATTTTGCGGGCTGCTGAGTCTTTTCAGTTTTTAGATCAAAACTCGAGGTAGATGAGAGCTGTTGCAAAAGCAAGGTGGCCTTCTTGTAAAGCTTGCTTTGCTCTATCGAATGGTGCTTTGCAACCTATTTAGAAGTGGGAAGTGTATGGCTTATTGCGGTTCAAATTCAAAACGGGCACTAATTTCCGGACAACCTAATAGATACGTCTTCCATCAATTTGTTATCGTGGTGTTTTTCTGCGTGCCTAGTAATCTCGTAAATGAATTTTTGAGGTCGGCTGTTGAGTCTTGAGGTCTGCATACTTGGCCCAAGAATTTTAATGAGTTGTAGAACAATATCGTGAGTAAAGAGAGGTGGTTTCGCAGGTGACGGCAAATTCTAAACGTTTATGTATGGAGACTGCTCCAGGATATCGATAGCTCAGACAAGGCTAATATCACGTCTCTTGTCCCTATTCCAAGTAGTTGATAGTAATATGCTTGCCCTTGTAGTTGATGCTTTTACTTTTATCGTATTAGATGCGTAAAGTTGATTTCTAGCAGCGAGATTGTTATACCTGTAGGATATTGGTTTTGAATTTGGCCTCAGGGCTGTTGCCTTAGAGTTTACGCTACAGAGATGAACGCTAAGCGGACGCGCAATTACCTAAGCTGAGAGGATAAGTGAGCACACGTCGAGAATGCTGATCCGACCGCATCGTGCATTGTCACAATTCTTTCGGATAGCTATCTTGAGCTCAGCCTAGTTAGACGTGGATGGAAGGGGTGGCCGATAGACTTTGGGGTGAATGAATTTAGGTGGCCGAAAGACTCCGCCCCTAGCTTGGAGCTTGAATGTGAAAACTTATAAGTCTGCAATAAATGAAGGAATGGCAAGAAAGCGCGCTATAACAATTAAAACAGTGCTACGCAATTTCAAGCTGGCTTGTCATATGGAGAAAGTAGTCGGAGGACTGCAGTCTTGATTCTATGATAGCTATTACGATAGATGAATCATTGTCAGCTTTTTCAGTACTACTCAGTGTCAACCAATCATCAGGTCGTGTTTCAACTAGAATGCTTTAGGCTGCTCCGCATCAGCTTAGCATCCCGAGGAGGATTCTATTCCGGGTCAAAACAGTTCCTCTCACCACACGCCTTTCTCGCTTATGTGGCAACTAGCTGCCGTCCCCGGTCCAGCCCGAGCGAAGGGTCTAAAACCCCATAGTGTCCATTTCAAATCATTTATGGCTTACTACTCCTCTTCCTTCACTTCATATTATCTCTTCTTTCCCTGCTTCAGCTCCGAGTTGAATTGCAGCGCCGCTGTGGCATCCGTAGTGAGATTGCCTTCCTTCTTGACCGCCTCGCTCCGTGACACCGCATCCTCCTCACCGCAAAATGTAATTGATTTCTACCGCCCCTTACTACTTATCTTAAAGAAATAAATGATGTAGCTTTCATTTTGCTAGATGTAAGTGAACAGATCAATAAATCGATGGAAGAACCCAGCGAATTGTCGCGAAAAGTAGCCTATCTTCTGCGCCGTGGCTTGTTCATAAGGGAGAAAATTTCAGCCTCTTCGATTCACATACAAAGGAGTCTATAAGCGACAAACATCCTTACAAACAAAGGTACAGTGTTTGAGTTTTATATATATATATATATATATATATATATATATATATATATATATATATATATATATATATATATATATATATATATATATATATATATATATATATATATATATATATATACCAGCGCTTCACCTCTGCTTCGCAGAGGTTCGCACTGGCCATCATGAACGTGGTAAACTCACTCTCTGAGAGCTTGTCTCACATCATTGTTGGTTGACTGCAACATGAGAGCCGTTGTTAAAAATGAACCATACTCGCTATCTTAACCTCACATGATGTTTAGTATCGTAAATCATTCCTCACTGTAATTTTGTAACAGACAGACTTACAGACCGACAAATAAGCTGTGGCGACTTTAGGCGTAAGGGTGGCGCCTTTCGAGAATTGGGCTAAGGGTGGGCCCGTACGAAATGGAAATAACACGACAAAGTATAACTAGAGTTTATTGAGAGCTCAACCGCACGCGGTGGCGCAGTGGTAGAATGTGATAACAGGCGGAGACAAAAATATTCTATGCGCACGCTTATATCATATAAGGTCACCAAATGGTGACCTTAACGGTGCTTGCACGAAAAACAACGTAACGAGCGATACGGATGAAACGGGTGCCGCTAATATCGGCACACTCCGGGGCGACAAACAACAATACAAGAAAACAAAGATACAGCGATGAAATAAAAAGTGAATAGAGGAAATTAAGCATGAACAGAGTGGGGAGAATCACAGGAAAAAGTAATTACGGCTCCTTCGTTGATGCAGTCCTTGTCGTTGGGGTCCAGCGATCGAGCGGGTGTTTGGCAGTAGATTAGGGGGTGAGAAAGACATCTGGGGACGATGACGTGGCGTTAACTTGTTTGATCCTGACCAACGTGAAGAGATATTGCACCTGATGAAGACCAAAGCTAAAGTAAATATAATTATTGATTTCTACAAGTTTGTCTAGCGCATTGCACGAGCGCTTTGGCCACCTTCAGCAGGGCACATAGTAGGTACGCAATTGCACCAAAAACCAATTTTATCACAGTAAGGATAACTACTGGCCCAAATAGATAGGTGAGGCCTGCTGCTGCAAGTGCAGCAACTCCAGCGGCCACAAAGGCTTTCCAATGGTTCTATATGACCATTATCAGTGGGTGGAGGTCTGGTACATGTATATCATTCATGTCCAACCAGCTCATGGGTTTTTGGTCTTCTTCGTTAAACTTGAACACGGAATCATGTTTAGAGTGGTGATAGAACAGCGTTCCATTCAACGGCAGGACCCATTTTCGGTCGCCACAGCTTGCATGGCACTTTCGCTGAACTACTGCGGAATCGAGATGCAGCAACATCATGGTTGACGGCTTCGTTGGACCACATCGGACAGAAAATGAGATCTCGTCGCATGAAATAGTGATCTCTGTAGGATCTTTCGACAAGCATGTCACATTTATGTTGGCCCCTGGTAGACAACTGTAACACCCAGCTATGTTGCTCATTCTGATGTCACATTTTTCTTCGTAGACAAATTCAACGCTGTCGAGCAGGATGTTCGATTGGACTGTCACAATCGTCTCAATGTCCTTGACTAGGGCTGACAGTGCCGAGCCATTGGAATGAATTTCTACGGAGGGGGCCAGCAGGGGTAATCGATTACTGCTGTCATCTTCTACAGTACGCAAAGAGTAATCTGGACAGTGGCAATGATGCTTGGTCCAGCCTGTGTTGCAATCGCAAATAATCTTGTTAACGCAATTCTTGAAGTTGTTCAATGCTTCATTCCGTGTCGCACATTCGACCGGCAGCCTGAAGTCGTCGGGTAGAATGACTGAGGTGTCGCTTGACAGTGCGAACCTTCTGTTCAGCACTGGTAGGTGCGAACTCTGTACAGATGTGGCAGTGATATTGAATCCTCGCAATTTGGCCGTTATGTACGGAGTCAAGGCAATGCCCTCTTTTCGGGTTACTTGTGACAAGCTACTCTCCACTTCGATGTGCAGTGATGGTGTCCATTCACTGCATCGTATAATTTCATGCACCGTTCCGGACACGGGTATATGGGCAACCTTATAGAAGGTGCAGGAGGGGGATGGCAGGAGGCAGCCGCAACTCATCCCTCCGCAAGTGTATTGACAACCAATGTATCCTGGAAAGTCTCTTGCTTGCGACAACTCTGGAACAGTATCGTTACGACTGATCGTGTCGCATATATTTCCGTAGCAGGAGCCTGCTTGGGAACATCTGACAGCTGAGTACACCCGGTGAACCGTGCTTCTGGTGTACGTTATCGATTCTTTGGAGCAGGTTAGACTTGCGGCTCTTAACTTTATCTTGAGCAGACCGACCGTTCTGTTCTGGTGGCGGACTTCAATGCAATGTTCATTCTGGATCCTGTTGAACAGGAGTTCTCTGCTGAGCTCCAAGTTGCAGTTGTTGTTCTGACTGCATACAATATTGGTACTATATCGGGTAAAACCATGTTGGCATGCATCCACCGCATTCGTTTCTGCCAATACTGCAATACACAATGTGATTACTAACCCACCGCTCAACGGAGTCGGATTCAAGGAATGTAGCTGGACATTTTCTCGAGGTACATTGATAGAGTATGCATTTTGCACTGGTGCAGGACTCTTACGGGTGATTCTGATAAGTGATAACATTCCCCACAGTGATATGAGAATCAGCATACTAATTACGTAGAAGATCATGGCAACGGTTATAACAGCACCAACCGGCCAACAGTTTGGGTTCCCTAGCAATGATGTGCTAAGTAGTGATCTTGATACTGCACAGAAGTCAGGATTTGAGCACATCAGGGCATAATCGGTGGGTGTTTCATCTTCAACATATTTTATCGCAACTTTGGTGTGCGATTGCGTGGGTGACGGCGGTAGCTTGTAAGTGTGTATCCCATTGGAGCCAAGGAATGTTTTACACTCGGAATTGAAACAAAGTTCATAAGGTGTTCCGTTCCCGTATTTTGACTACACCTTCTCGACATGTTGCATGATGGGCACTGGATGGAGATATCAGAGCAGCGATCATCACAGTAAGTAGCATCGCAGTTTTTATCGATCCATTGGCTACTTTGGAGTTCCGTGCGGGTGGCAACACTTGTGACCCTTGCATGGCGTTAGTGCTTGATTGTGACTGAGTTTCCTCGAGGCTTTCTTCGAAGTTTCTGATGACATCATAAGCTCTTGTCTTTGCCGAACGAGGCAGAACACGCCGAGATGCGATTTCTTCGGTTGTGTCGTGAGTCAGTGCATCTCTAGAATCCTCCTCTGATTGGGAACGGATTTCTAGTGGGTACAGTTTGTTTATTGGTCTATGTAGGGTGCCGCCGTTGGGAGTAAGGACTTTCGCGGTCCTAATGAGGCCGTCATTGCTACTGATTACTTCAACTATTTTGCCGTAGGACCAATTTCCTCTTGGTAGCATATCATGTTCAATCAATACAATCTCGCCTTTCTCTGGGACGGTTCTCGAGATATGTCTATGTTGCTTCAGAAATTGCTTCTGCGACTCACGCAATGTTGTGAGGTATTCTGTGCGCCACTTGTCCCAAAATTTGGACGCTATTATTTCTGAGGCAGAAATGGCTTCAATGGCTTGCTTTCTAGTCTGTATGAATTCTGGCTCGTATGAGGGGTCTTCAGCGTTTTGTGATTCTGCTGAATCCTGGAGTGAGAATTTCACGTTTCCTTGAAGGAAGTCAACTGGTCTGAGCGGAATTTCTGACAAATCCGTGGAACTCAGTTTTGTTAGTGGGCGTGTATTCAAGACTGCTTCTATAGAAGTGACCGCCGTACTGAACTCTGTGAAACTTAGTTTCTTTCTGCCAACCGACTTTCTCAAGCATCGTTTAACGGAACCAACGAGTCGCTCCCAAACTCCGCCCATCCAAGGGCTGGCTGGTGGATTGAATAACCATTTGATACCGTTTGTGGCACTGTAACTCATGACGGATTGCGCCTCGTATTCGCAAGGTTTAGAGAGTTCTTCGATGATTTTGGAACCAAGGCGGAAATTTGTTCCGCAGTCGGAGCGCACTAGTTTCGGAACACCTCTTCTTGATACAAATCGTATGAATGAGTTCAGGAATGCTCCAGCTGATAAGTTTTCAACTACTTCCAAGTGGACTGCTCTAGTAACTAGGCAAGTGTAAAGGGCAATATACATGTTGTCCCCATTCTTGGAACAAAACGGACCGATGTAGTCGCAACCAACATTACTAAATGGTTTTGTGACCATCACCCTATCTGTTGGTAATGAGGGCATTTGTGGAGAACCAAATGGCAGTCCATTCCAACGCTTACAGACCGCGCAATTTTTCAAGTAATACTTGAATGATCCAGATGCACGCGGTATCCAGTATTTTTGCCGTGCCAGCGATAACGTCTGGTCTTTACCGCAATGGAAATTATGGCAGTGCATATCGATCAGAATCAGTCGGGTCATCTCGCTTCTGCTTGGCAGAAAGATGGGAGATTTTGTATCGATTGGTATTGGGGCATGTTGCAATCGAGAAATGTGTCTGATTACACCGTATTTATCGCGAACAATGTTCATGTTTCTGAACTTTCTACTAAGCTCATCTACATCCACATTCTTGTGAATGTCTGCGTGGAGAACGATTTCTGCTGCTTTGATATCGTCAGCAGTTATATCGAAATTCGTACCGAATTTGGTTACATGGTGGATTTCTATCGGAGAATGTCTCTTCTCGTTCACTTTTGCTACCACCCGGTGTAGGTATTTTCCTACGCGTGCTACCATGCGCAACGCAATTGGCAGCTTTGATATTCTTGCCAAATCAAAGAGTTGTTCTTCTTGAGGTGGACAGTTTTGCACAGCAGCTATTGTAGTGGGCTGTTCCGACTCTTTGGGCATTTCCTGAGCTTGGATATCAGCGATATCTCTCAAGTAGGTTATGTTTGGATAGTCGCGCAACCATGCTGGTCCACGCACCCAATGATGGTCTTGAATCTGATTTTTGGTCAGACCTCTGGTGCCAGCGTCAGCTGGGTTGTATGACGTCGGGACATGGTGGTAGTGCACTCTGATGCCTCGCGTCTCGAACCACATCTTGAGGTCACGTATGCGGACGCATTGATTGCTTACGAATACTGGCAACTTTTTTGTTGATTTGACCCAGCATAAAGCAACTTCGCTATCTGTCACTATGTGCAGTTCAACAATTTTGCAGCTGACAGCTTCTGTTACTGTAGTAGCCATTCTCATGGCTAGTAGAATACCAAGCAGTTCTAATCTTGGAATTGTCTGCACGTGTTTCTTTGGTGCCAGTCGCGTCTTTCCAACAATGATTTGAGACACCTCATTTGATTCCAACGATTGCATGTATGCGCATGCTGCAATCGCAGCTATACTTGCATCCGCGAACACCCACAGGCGAGTCGCTGCTTGACTATAGGTCAAGCCGCCTAATAAGGTGCGGGGTACCGCAATCAATGCATCAGTTACTCTGCTGCATTGATGATTCCATTTCTCGCATGTGTCTCGAGAAAGGCGGTCATTCCAATCAGAATGAGTGGTAAGGATTTCTCGCATCATTGTTTTTAGCTCTATCAACAATGGACCGGCTATCCCCAATGGATCGTAAATGGAGTTGAGCTGGCTAACGATATCACGTTTAGTCAAAGTGGGTTTCATTGGAAAACGTGTCGTGACCGTGAATCGGTCGGTTACGGTATCGTATTCCGTACCAAGATATTTCAACACACCGGTCGGAATGGTGTCCTGTTCAGGAATTTGTCCATTGACAATGCTTGAATTTGAAATGAACTCCCTGAGATTCATTCCAATCTTGGCAAAAAGTGCTTTGGATTCTTTGTATTTTTGCAAAGCCTCTTCTGGAGTATCCGCTTGGAGCAGGATGTTGTCAACATAGATGTAAGCGGCAATTTCGCGTGCAAGATCCGTGTCAGTAGCATTTAAATATGCTGCAATGCACATATTTAGGATACTTGGTGCAGCGGTTATACCGAAGGGTAGTCGTGTGAATCGATACTCCACGACATTGCCTCTTGTGGCTGGCAGGTTCACATTTTGTAGCCACAGAAATCTGCACAAGTCTTTGTGTTCATTTGGCAGACGAATTTGCGTGAAGGCTGCCTCAATATCACAGAACAGTATGATTCTGCTTGTACGACATGTAATTAGAAGGCTTTGTATCTTGTTAATAAACGACTCGCCTTTATGGATGGTATCGTTGAGAGATAGTTTTCCTCTCATTTTTGACGAGGCGTCAAATACTATCCTGAGTGGCACCTTTTTGTGAGGTCGCCAGACGCCAGAATGCGGCATATAGTATGTGCCGACAGCATCTTTCTCTGGGCTGTAGACTCTTTCTATCACCCCTTGGCTCTCATAATCCATTATGATTTTTGAGTACCAGGCATGCTGTTCTCCGTTTGCTCTTAGTTGGTTTTGGAGAGCAGATAGTCGTTTGATTGATACCGAGTAATTGTCGGCAAGGTCAACGATATTGGCTTTTAGTGGGAACGGATCAGTGACAAGATTGTTTTCAAATGATATCGATTTTTCGTACTGCTCAAAGTATTTCTGAACTGTTTCGTCTTTTTGCAGTTCAGAGGCAGGTATTCCCAAACCTTCTAGCTCGAACATTCTTTCGAGCATGGCCACTTCGGTAGGTTGTTCCATAGAAGTGTAGTTGTGGCTTATTGACACATTCATATGTGAGCTGTCAATAGTGCCACGTCCATACAAGGTTGGACCAAAAACTGTTTTTGCAACATGCAGACCTGATGGTGTCCGAAGAGCGGTTGTATCTGCTATGACGAGGTCGTAATAGCGGTCTAATCCAACGAGAATACGTGGAATGATACGTTCCCCATGAACTTTTGAGTTTGCTATGCACAGTTCTTTGATGTGGAGAAACTCTTTGTCTTCTTTAGTAAGTCTGATAGCAGGGAATCCGCTAGTAATCACTGGTTTTGTCTGAACCACCATGTCAATGTCTGCACCGAATGCGGTGGTGATATTCAGTTTGACTGAGTGACTTTCGAATTTTTCGGTGTGTCCGCCAATGCCGGACATAACACACGTTTCAGTGGTGATCTTTGGTAGTCCGAGTTTTGTGGCTAAATTCTCTTCAATTACTGTTTTTTGTGCGCCAGTATCAAAGAAGAAGAGTACTCTCTCGTATTGTTGGCTAACACGATTGAAAACATTGCCTTCGGCAGTCATTAGTATCAGTTGCTCTTGAGGAATTGCGGGAGTGGCAATATGTCCATTTTCCACAAGCTGGTTATTCATGGTAGGTCGTTCAGTGCTTGGAATGAAGCGCTGGCCTCCATTATGCTGTGGATGGTTTTGCCTCGCAGTGTTACTTGTTGGAACATGTCTGGTGTTTGGACCAGAATGATTGCGATTTGGTGAGTTGTAGTGTGCAACTTCATTTTTTGGCCACCGCGATATGCGCGGTTGATTCGTGCCCGCAGGATTATTGGCTGCATTGCCACCTACAAAGCAGAGCGAGGAATGGTGGGTTTTTCCACAGTTATTGCAATTTGATTTTCTGCAATGGTTGCTGGTGTGATCCGCAAGGAAGCATTTCCAGCACAAGTTGTTTTGCCGCACTATCTGTCGGCGCTTATTCGGGTCTGCAACTGTTCTGCAGAATGCCGAGTTGTGGTTAGAGCGACCACAAAATGCGCAGCTTGCAGTCTGCGCAAAACTTTGTTGCCGACTCGGCTTGAGTTTTGTGTTTTCGAAACCAAGCCTGAGCTCTACATACGCCTTTGCGGCTATTTCCTTGTCAAGAATGTCCAGGAGTTTTTCAATGGTAACATTATCAACTTCCTGGTTTTTGATCAAGACGTCCTTAACAACATCGTAAGGAAATTTTTTGATAATTGTCTCTGTCCACATCGGGTCACACGTATGGCGGATATCATATCCTGCGGACACCATCTGGTGGACCAGAGTCCTGATAGTATCGACGCAATGCTGGCAACTATCCGCATTTTTGCCTGCAGATGGGAGTTCGAATAGCCGCTGCACTATTTTGGACCTATTTGTGGGCTGGTTTTCGAACCGTTTCTTCAGTGTCGTTACCATCCACTCATAGTTTTCTGGCACTGGTTTTATGCCTCTTATTGCTGTTACGGCTGAACCTTGCAAACTCTGCTTTAGCAACATTATTTTCTCGACCGTGGGCAAGTCACTGCATTTGTGTACAAGTGACTCATAGAGTGCCCAAAACTCAGCAAACTCCTCTTGATTTCCGCTGAAAAGCGGTAGTTTTACAGTCGGTGGTCTAATTGACCGACAATTTGTGCTGTTTTGTTCAGGGATTCTTGCGACTTCTCTATTTGATACACTGGATTCGCCTGAAGTACTTTGTGACTCTACGCCATTATCACTGTTGACTTGGATTTTGAGCCTCATTTGTGTTTGGTACAAAATAACTTCTGCATCTGCAATGTTTGCTTCAACAATGTGTGCAAAGGCTTCCGCGTCTTGTAAGGTTTTGGAATATTTGAACTCATTTTCGAAGTCTTCAATCTCCTGCAGCAATTCTTTTTGCTCAGTCCTGGACTTCGCATTCGCGTATTGCTGCTCCATTCTTTCTATTTTGGATTGCAGCGATTGTATACCTTCTTTGAACAGTGGAAGGCATTTTTTCAGTCGGATCATGTTTTCGGAACTGTGTTTGAGTCGTTCCTGATCATCCTCTGTGTATATGATTTTTTCACCGTACGACTCATATTTTTGCAGTAGAGTCGAGAGTGCGGTTGAGCTCTTTAAGATGGCTAATTTGTAGAAATGGAGCGACATCTTTATTCTGTCAGATAGGTATCTCTGAAGAATGGTTGTTTTTGTTGCGTTAGAAATGCAAAAGTAGGCGCTGTAGTGGCCTTTAGCAGGTAAATGCTAATTTTTTGCTACGCAAAAGTTTTAGGGTTATGGTGGACCCAAGGTCAGTCTTGGCTAACCTTTTGCGCTGTCGCTAGGGACTAAACGCAAGCAATTTAGGAAGCTAGGTTCCAAGGATAGACTAGGCTAACCTGCGTGTTGATTCTAGGATCAGACACTTAATCGGGCTCACGTGGGCCGATGCACCAGAAAATGTGGCGACTTTAGGCGTAAGGGTGGCGCCTTTTGAGAATTGGGCTAAGGGTGGGCCCGTACGAAATGGAAATAACACGACAAGGTATAACTAGAGTTTATTGAGAGCTCAACCGCACGCGGTGGCGCAGTGGTAGAATGTGATAACAGGCGGAGACAAAAATATTCTATGCGCACGCTTATATCATATAAGGTCACCAAATGGTGACCTTAACGGTGCTTGCACGAAAAACAACGTAACGAGCGATACGGATGAAACGGGTGCCGCTAATATCGGCACATAAGCGGCTTATTATAAGTCATGATATAGATAAGAGCGGCCTCATTTGTGCACCAGCCTCATTATAAGTAAAATTTTGCATATCATCTATACCACAGAGAGAAGTATGAAAGGAGAGCATTATTTATAGAAGAAGCAGTGTTGATTTTTTTTCTCAACGTCACCCTTGAAACAGATGACTAAGCGTTCATGTGAAATAGTTGAATGCAGACGTGGCACAGTGCAATTGCTCCGCTTTGTCAACACTCATTCACTTATTTGCTGAAAATTCCTCATAATCATGCAACACATTTTGTTCTCATGCAATTTCGTCCTCATGTGAAGTTGCAAAAATCAAATTCGCATACAATTTTGCTGAAAAGCCATCAGTCCTTGTGAATGACAAGTTTCCCAACATTTTATGCGATTCTGGTAGAATCTTTGGTGAGAAAATTCTCAAGACGTTGATGTTCTAGGATCCTCTGCATTTTATGGCTTGATTATGCTGCAGAGCATTGTTCTTTCCATTACGCTATTGAACCACTGGATGCATAATGTCAGCAATTGAATAACCACATTCCTTATGTCAACATCTTCTTGGAAACGTAAACTAAAAGGGATCGATTGGCTTACTCATCATTGGCGCCCATTTGATGCAGAAATGTGGATGTTTTCAGCACTTATATTTGATTTTTTCTTTGCATCAAACTAGTAGCAAACACTCTGATGTTAGAGTTCTAAAAACCTTTTCATATTAGAATGATGCAGGCAACAAAATCGCTTGTTTGATAAATCATCAGACTTCTTTAGATGCAAAGTCTCCTAACAGATTCAGAATTGCTCAGTCAAGTCTATCATTTGCATTTCTGAGCGACTCTCAAACCTTATTAACACATCGGCGAACAGTTTTTGCTGCATGCATAATCTACCAATTAGCAGTGTTGAGAATGGACGGACATAACCTCATAAATTCGAATGAGATCGTGATACACAAAACTATTTCAGTTGCTTCATTCATTTACACCTTAGAGGCCTGCTCAACAATTCCTCTGACCTGCTCATAGTGCTATCTGCATGCCATCATCACAAAACTAGTCAAAATTGGATTTTATAAGCATTGCATTCAAAGAGCAATGCTCATAAGCATATAAGCATTCATTCAGGAAGGGAAAAATATGTTGCTATAGGGTCATCACATAATGGGGGCCGCATGCATTAAGATCCTACCGGGGAGAAGGTCGCAGCTCAAAAGAAACCTCCATGTTCTAAAGCTCCAGATATCTGGATTTCACGCTGTTACCATTCCCTAGGTATTCTACTATCCTTTATTATGAACTTATTGAAAAGACTCGAGAAGCTGCACAAGCCGCATTTTCCAGCTTTTGATATGATCCTCTAATGATCTAGGATGGACAACCGTCTTCTTTTCAAAGTTATCTTCTTTCTTTAAAATCAATGAATCTATAATAACGGTGTAATAAAGTCATGAAAGTGAGATGAACCAACCACACGTCGAAAGTAGGGTTTGTCAGAAATTACGATATTCCAGTACCTCATTGTTCTTATCAATACGGCTTAGCAATATTGGGTTAGATAATCAGTAAAACTTTGACTTTTCATTGACTTTAAAGAAAAAAATTGACTTTGTAAAGAAGTCGGTCGGCCGCCAGGCATCAGGGAATCATACAAAAAAAAATTGAGAAATGCGGCTTCTGCAGCTTCTCGCACCTATTCAATATGTTTGAAGTGAAGGATAGTAGGAATACTAAGATAGGTAGACAGCGAATAATCAAGTGCATGGAGCTTTACGATATGCTTTTTTGAGCTGCAACTCCCCGGTGGGATGTTAATGCATGCGGCCCTCAATGATGACAGGTCTGTTCTTGGAGTAATGCCACGGTACAAGGAGTAGCTTTCTGCACCTCAAAGCTCAAAAGCTCACCTCAAAAATGCTTCATGTTTAATTTTAACCACATTGCTTACTCACGCGGTTTCGAACATGGCACTTAGGCATGTATTGTCGTTTGACCGGAAAAGAAAGAAATACCGCGGTGGTTGTTACAGCATTCTAGCACCTTTAAAAGCTGCACCTGGACTCCCTTCGGGTAATAGGCTTCTTGGTAGGGTTAGTGTTCGGGCAAAAGGCGCGTTTCTGAGATAGCACACGTTAGTATGCACCCCAACCCAGCGCAAGTGTGCAAGAAAGTAATGAACATACGCTTGCGTCGATGGCATACCCAGATTTCCGTTCGAGGGAGGGGGAGCGCACTTTGAGGGAATTTTTGGCATGCCTTTGGAAATTTCGCGGACCCCTAGCCCCGAAATTCCAGGAAAAAGGAGCGTGGGTAACACCACGAAAACTTCATGAGGCTAAATTGAATTTTCAAAAAGTTTCAAAAATCATTTTAGTTATCCACAAGTATTAGGTTGTCGGATAATTTCTGTTACACTTTTTTCTTTTTCTAGGAAATTCCAGAAGCTTCCTGGAACCCCACATTTGCGACGCGTTTAGGCCATAGCAGGGTCTACTACCACTAAATGGATGCCGCAAGTGCACCAATAACCAACAAGTTTACGGCAGTTTTGTAGAAGCACTCAAATTTTTAATTTTTGTCTAATTTTTTCTCTGCACCTACTTGTGCTTTTCCTCTTCCAGAATTTTTTCAGAAACGTATTTTGGCATTGTCTTTTGCATGGGGCATTCCGGTGCCTATAGCGTTCCAAAAACGAGAGTAAAATACTAGAAAAATTCAAATGCTTTCCAAAATTCTTCTTTTTATGTGCTTCGTGCAGAATTGAATACAGAAAACTTGAAAATGGTTTTTTGAATTTTTTTGAAAACCTTTCCTTCGTTAAAATGTCGATGATTGCAAAGTTGGCGCACAGTAACATTTTAATCGCTCAGAAAAACGTGTGCAAACACGTCTGTATATCCCCCATATTTGCTGAACGCTATAGATTATCCCCTAACTGATTACCACATTGTCTCGTCTCTCTCATCACCTAAAAGAATGCTAGCTCATAGAAAGGAAAACAAGACGGTTTCATAGCCACAAATTGGGCGCTTTGCGCACGAATCGTGGACGCGACGGTACCGATGAATAGGCATTTTGAACCTGTCCATATGCCGCGAACATGACTTTTTTTTGACTTCTGCCATCATAGGTATTCAAAAAGTATTAGTGAATTTTACGTCTTTTGAAGCTTTCTTGTGAACTACTGATGAGGGCCGACAAGAAAGCTACACATCCGGTATAGTTCTAAGGCCCGAAACCGGTTGTATGTAAACGCATATACATATATTTTTGTATCTTAAGTTTGTATCTTGTCTTCTAGCTCAAGTAGTACTTAGATATAATAACTTCCTTTGTTTTGTATGGAATCTTTCGGAATCTTCCGAGCTTTTTAAAGATTAACCGACAAACCAATAAAAACAAGTCATTTGCACATTTTAATAGCGCATGTAATTAATTTCCAAGAATTTTGCGACCCCTTCCAGAGGGAGGGGACCCGTGGCACGCCACCGTTTGGTTTATCTGTTAGTGACAGTGTTCGTCTGCAATACACTTTGTAGCAAAGGACAGCAGTGAGCAGGGCATTTCAAAACCGCATATCGTGAGACTCGTCCGGACCCTTTCAGATAGAAAACCTTTGACTTCCAAAATTTTAGCACCTTGGAAAAAGCCAGCAAACAAAATATACTTGAGTTTGCTCAAGGCTTAGAAAAAAAAACCCACTGCGAAGTTGGTATCGCGCCGCAACGAAAACAAAATTCTACTGAATTATTCCAAGTCCTTATGAATAATCTCTCATGTAGGACAACCGCGGAGTACAACGTCAGCAATGCTTGCGTAACCTACGTTGATTCAGCAAATGCATTTGCATGCCCATGGTAGCTTCTAGATACTTGAAGTTACTGAATCCGCCATCCTTGTTTAGGCGTGATGCTCTTGTAACAAATGAGTAGGCTCAAGGATTGCGCGGTCATATCCTTGCCACTATTTGAAAAGACAATACTTCTAAAAACTGCGTAGAAATCGCACACTCTCTGTGTGTACAAACTTTAACTCCATTTCTGGCTCTTTGAGCTCCCATCTGATTGGTTAGTAGAACTCGTATGCCAACAGCCACACTGCGCACATGGCATGAAACCGCGTTAGAGCATATGACGTATAAGCGGGTTTCAGCCTACGCATATTTTTTAGAATTTCAAACTGCTCTGTTTCAGATATACAAGAACACCCGATGATAGAGACTTCAAGATACATGTTGCATGCGATACTCTTCATATCAGGTACGAAGATAATCATTACTTAACAATAAAGCGCCTAGACCGCTGTCTGTTTCTCCGTCTGTGTGTATATCTGTCTGTCGCGAAATCCATAGAGCGGGTGCAGCGAACATTTCGAGCCAGAAATTTGCACAACGCATGTCACCAACATGTACTCTTTGCTTAAACCATATTGGCTGCAGGAAGGCGGAGACTCATGATCTATGAGGCGACTGCTCCCGTCCGCGACGCAGTCTGCGCCTCCCTCGCAAACATACTTTTTCAACATTCTCTAGCCTTAATTAGATCACGAAGCCCCGCACTCCAGCCGACGACCTGGTTGAAGCAGGGGTATAGGTCCATTATCCAAAAACACGAGCGAGTTCGCTGCGTAGAACCCACGGAAACTGCGCATCAAACGGGTCCACGCGAGTTTTGGCGAGCAAAGCCAGAGCCGTGTTTGGACGTTTCACAAAGTCAAGAATATATTTGACATGTATATCTATAAGCCATTGAGTTCAGCCCAGAAAAGCGACCAAATGTCTATTGATTTACGAATACGGCGCCAAAAAGAAATGACTGTGTAAGTGTTCAATTTTTCAAGATTTTACCTGATTATTTGTGAAGATGCTTGGCATATAGATGCAGCCCACGATGATTATTGCCATTGAAGGCAGCGTCCAGGTAACTCTGGGCCCATGGGGATCACACTTGGAGGGTAACCTTGGAGCCCTAACTAAAACATTACCCAAGCGGCAACTCAAATGGTGAGCTCACAGTTGAGATATTCGCCTCCAAACTGGAGCTCGGGATCGCATTCGCATGAATTCATGGCGCGACACATTGATTTCGCGCGAGGGCCCACGCGTGTCGCACCATGAATCCATGCGACGATTTCGGGGTCCAGTTTGGAGGCGAATATCTCAACTGTGAGTACACCATTTGAGCTAATACTTGGGCAGTGTCTTAGTTAGGGCCCCAAAATTACTTTCCACATCAGAGCCCCGAATGTCCAGATTTGCCTGGACGCTGCCTTTGAGGCGACTTCCAAGCCACAAATTTCCGAAGACCAATTTGAATTTGCATTTGTTCATCCTGGGAAAAGTTTCATCCATGCAAATTACCGCTCATATGAAAGCTTTAAAAATGAGTAGTTGTTTACAGATCATTAGTGATAGTCCGCATAGCACGGTGAGTTTCATGTCATTGAATGAGTAAGGCATACAGATAGTTGGACCAGTGCGAGCCTCTGCGAAGCAGAATGATGCAATGGTTTGAGAATAATGATTGAAAATTTTGAGCATTCCAATATTCGGATAACTTGGCCTTTTCGCATCAATAGCTCGTATACATCGTCAACTGCGGTTTAGCAATTCTTTTGAAATGAATACCCAAGACAGCGTCCTGAACATTTAAAGGCGTTTACAATGATGGTAGCATAGTCGCAAGTATCTTCTCTTACTCAGACAAATCATAAGAATTTCCACAGAACAAGCAAAATTTGCAACGTCGCTGGACTTTGCTTACCATTGCAAAAGCGCAAGCGTTGAAAATGGGAAATTTTAGGTATTTTGACTTAGAAAAGGCTTCTAGTCTTTAAAAATTTCCAACTTCTACCTGACAAGAAAAGAATACTTAGTGAGCGTGGCCATTTATTAGGTCGTGTAATAAGTTCTGTCCCATTTTTTGTTTTAGTTTTTTCTTGACAACATTGCCTATATTTGAGATAAAGTGTATATGCTTTTTAAAGCTCTAGGTCTAAACTTTTGCAAGTCATCTGATGTAGAAAACCGAAATGAAAGTTTTAGTAAAGAAGACTCAGAACTTTCAAATGCATATAAACAATTTACACAACATCGCGCAAAATATTGAGAAAAAATCGAAAGAAAAAATGGGACAGAACTTATTACACAACCTAATAGATAGCAATGTGTACCATGAGATGCGCCTCAGGCGCTGTTTCCGAATCTGCCTTCGTGATCTGTGAAACGATCTTCTGAAGAAGGTTATGAACATTTCTCTAAGAAAATTTGTGTACTTTTGGATAATCAAAACTGGTGCTTGATTCACTTTACCGTTCGATGCTACTAAAGGGAATCTTGGAAAGAGTACTGTGTTGAGACTAACTAACTCATATCTAGCAGTTCAAAAGGTAAGAAAAGTTTGTGTCGGTATTTCGGCTTACCGCTGTAGTGCAAGTTATTTTTGATAATCAATTTATAACTCTGTCTGAATTATCGTTTCGCGGTCAAAAGGCGTTTTTTTAATATGCAATTTATTAAGAATGGTCACGTTCACCAAGTATCCTTCCCTGTGAATAAGTGCCGCTTCAGTAGCGAGATGTTAGATGTATTGGCTAATTATAAGGATTTGTAAGCAATCGACTTTCGATTCTAATGTAACTCATGAAGTTACAAACACAGGATTTCCCAAAAAAAATGTATCGAACATTTCAACGTTAATAAACTCCTTCTCCGATATGCTTTCCCGGTGAAAGAAAAGCCCTTGTACACCTTTTAAAACTTTGCAGTGGTATCGCTATAGATGGCCTATCTGGCTATGGCGCTTAAAGGCAGTGCCCGGGCAAGATGGGGGATTTGGGATTTCAGTGCCATGCAAGAGTGGCCCCTTTCAGACGCAACATCGCGCAAATGCGACATCATAACGCCCTACCTAAAACAAGAAAAACAACAAAAAGTGGGGAAATTTATGCCTAAGGGCGGGGTCCTCCGAGCTGTCCGAGTTCCTGCTATGCGGCAGAGTACGCCTGCCGCAACAATGAAAATCGTGCGGTCCTGGAGCGACTCTGCGTCTCTGCTTGGCGTGGACCGTCGGAGTTCAAATTATAAGGCTTTGGAAAACGCATGTTCTCGCCTTTTGCTCCTTCCAATGTGGATTTTCGGATTCAGCGTTCTGGGTAACCCCCGGTAAGTGGATTTTCTAGAAATCGAATTTTTGCCCGGACACTGCCTTTAAGCACGGCATGTGGCATGCTAGAGTCTGAGGTCGTTACTGGGGATGTGACAGGATCGTGGATAGTACAGAGTAAGATAATGAGAAGGGACGACCTTCCTGTACTAGCTCCAAAAATCACGTTTTGTGCTGTATCATTCCAGCTAATGTCGAAGGAAACCTAGAAAACAAGTGTAACTTAGCTGAAAATTGAAAATTGTTGTTGTTTTTTCTCCAAAGGAAGGTACTCACCTTTTTTTGCCCATGTCGAATAATCTTCAAGTGTTGTACGAGACCAGTATAACCTTTGCAAATATTCATCTCCAGTGCCTTCTATGAATTATATAGAGCCAATAAGCCATGCTCAAACCAGTGCAGGTAGTTTCAAAAAATGCATCGAACGTTGATCGCAAGAACTTTTTGTCTGATCAGCTTTTGTGAACATTCAAGTAGCACGCTGTGGAGCTGGTGTAGTCAAGGTTAACAATAGCGGATAATCCTTATTCATTAGTGTGAACACGATAAGAACTTCTAGAAGAGTCTTGCGCAATGAGAGAGCATACTCCTCGAAGATTTTCCAAACAAGCTTAAAACTTTGTTCCCAGGTGATTAAGCATTGCTACATATAAAAGCTTTTCGTGCCACTGTAGCTTCTATTTCATGCTTACGAAAAGCACTATATAAGGCAATGGATACTGGGGGTGGAGTCGTTGAAAAGATAGCCAAGATACGTGACTTTGCAGCCTGCCTACACACCTTGCGGTTTTTTAAGGGTGTGATCTCCAAGTATAGGATAAAAAGTGCCTGGTCCTCTATCTTCTTTATCCGCCGATGTTCAACGTGTTCGGCGGTTTCAACATCGCAATTTACGCCGAATTTGTCGACCTTACCTTTTTGCCAAAACTCCTTTCTACCCCCTGAGGAATTTACGATGTTTATCAGCAGCATTGAAATTGTATCAGTTTCATATGTATTATAACAGTTTTAACAAATTACATAGTTGTTGGGATGTTTACTATAGATTTCAGGAGTAGCTGCATGGAATGACTGGGATGACTGGGACCCCATGGCAGGACTGCAGAGTAAGTTTTCATCACGCACAAGTTTTCCTCATTTCGCTCATCTTCGCAGACATACTTTATATGAAAATGATCAAAGCCATGTTATGACTTGACAATTTGCATCCAAGAGGCGTCGCGAAATTTTTGAAATTTACTTACATGGGTTATAAAAATGTGCAAGTGAATTGTTTATTCGTGTAAATGTAAAATAATTTTAGAAATTTTAAAGATTCAAATTAGCCTTGTAAAATTTTTCGGGGGCATGCTGCCGCCACGCCTCCTTTTTCTGGACTTTAGGGGTTGTGGGCCCACAAAAACTTTGAGAAGCACCCCAAAAAATTTTTTCGAAGTGTGCGGCTAACGCCACGCACCTTCATTTGGAAAATTTTTTTCGCCCCCCCCCCCCTTCCCCGGGCGGAAATTCTGGGACCGCCACTGCCAAGAGGGTATGGCTTTTCCCACTTGCATGTTAGTAGATGCAAGTTTTGCTTTGCCGAGCTGCTGCCAAATTACATAATGTTCACTCAAAGCCGGCGGCAAATTCCTAACAACGTGATAGCGGTTGCGACCGGTCCCTAAAAACCACATGCCGGTCACGATCGTGCATTGGTCTGCGTAAAAATCGCGTACCTGCCTGCCGCCAAATCCGCAATGATCGTGCACATCACGCGCAGCCAGTGTGTTATATGTAATGTTTTTACGAGGAAAATTAGCAAGCAGGAGGTAGTTGCGGTCAAGTTGGTGGTTAAAACTGATGAGCAGTTTCTTCTGTGCTGGGCCACTTCTATGAGCATAAAGTGTGAATGTAGAGTATGAATGTAAAGGCTGCTGCATGACGAAGGCGCAATGGCGGTATTAGTTGAGCGGGCGCGAACGCGACGCGCGCGTATCCTCACCTTGTAGATCCCTGGGAGACGGTCGAATGGCGCGTATTGATCGATTGTCATTAAGTGGGAGAAGCAAGAAATAAGTTCAGATTTATTTCAATACTTTCCGATTTCAACTGGTTATCCTCCACTATGCTTTCTGATGTACTGTTAGAACTCTTGGGATCTGGAAACCTCGCTGTTGTAGAGAACTGATCTAGTCTGGAAATGAAGGCTTAGGGAACGCGCGCCTTACGACATACACCCGTAGATCCCTCACCTCATGCGCTCTGCGGTTAATGAAGCCGCGTTCGCGCCCGAAGATATTGCGTCATGCAGCAGCCTATAGTTAAATTTGTTAACGCTATCTCCATACTCAACAGGAAAGCATGTTTAGTCGAAGTGGCCTTTTTAGATGGGATGTATACTATATTGAAGGCATGAAATGCTGAATCCAAATCTGCTCCTTATCTGCAGAACGTTTATGGACAAGGAGATATGAGCGCTTATTAAGGCAAAAGATTGTTCGTGCAAGTAGGACAGAAATAGCCATAATACTTTTAGCTCTTCAATGGAGCAGTGACAACTATTAGGGCATTTTATTCAAGAAATACTCTAAAATGAAAAATGTATCACGCTTGGTTGCATTATTTGAGGTCTAGTAAGATCTTAGCAACTCATTTTATCCAAAGTGCACATTCAACTCGCTCCAAGAAACGCTCATAATTCATGGTTCATGAACGTTCTGCAGGTAAGGAAGGCAGGTTTAGAATCAGCATTTTATGCCCTTCAATAATCCCATTTGGAAAGGCCACTTCGACTAAACGATCTTTTCTTGTCAGTATAGTACAAAAGCAGTGCGGGTAGCACGCGAATGTCGCGCACTACTGAGCTAAACCCCAAGGGAGCAAATTTCATGCGGATTTTTGCGAAGCGAATAGAGAAAACGCATATTCGTAAAACTGAAACCTATACATTGACAATTTTAAAATATTAAGAAGCAAAAAAATAGCAGATAAAATAATGAGAGTACTGGAAATATGCGAATGTTGTAATAGTTACTGCTTCTGAAAGCAATTCACCGAATAAGCGTGACATTCTATAAGCGTCAGCATAAATCTCTCTTAAATGAAATGAGAACTATCGTGAATCGCAAGATCATGATTCAAGATTTCAATAAATGAATTTTATTTTTTCAAACAATCACTTAATGATATTTAGTAGGCATAAGAGTGTTCATATCAAAATGTATTGAAGTCTCTAGAAGCAACTGTTCACATGTAGGGTTATACAGGGTGTCCCAAAAAAATGTTAACACTGTTTGATCGTTAATAACTCCCTTGCTTTCAAGTCTTTCGCCGAGCATTAGGTACCATTTTGTAGAGCGAGGATAAACTTAGATTTACAGTATCGAGTGAATCATCCAACGCTTCTCGCTACTGTAGAATTACGGTAGGAAATTCCAGCATGTGGAACCGTCGTGAAATAAGCACTCTGACAAAATTTTATTCAAAAAATCTGAAAAATCGTGTACTAGGGTTTTCGCGCACGCTGATTTTACTACACAACTTTTTACGAGTGTTTTCAGCTTTTTTGACGGTGTAATCACGTTTTTGACACATGCTGGGAAGTCAGTTATTAAACTTTACCTAGGATAACTTTGAAAAGAAGTATCGTAATGAAGTGAAAATTTCATATCCGAAATCAGCAGCTTTCATTACCATAATAAAAGAGATTTTAGCTTATTTGGCTCTGTTTTGAAGCAGAAAATGGGCTTTAATGGCCTAAAATCTTGTCAAATTTCCTACCGTAATTCTACAGTAAGGAGGAGAGTTAGATGATTTGCTCGATACTGGAAATCTAAGTTTATCCTCGCTCTACCAAATGGTACCTAAAGCTCGGCGAAAAACTTGAAAGCAAGGGAGTTATTAACGATCAAACAGTGTTAACATTTTTTTTGGGACACCCTGTATGTCAATTGCATAAGCAGCTTCTCTGGATGGATGCGATGCAGTCAACTAGCAAGTGTAAAGTTATTCCATTTTTGTTTGAGGACATCATTGGTATACTTAAAAATGGTCTGTTTGTCGTAGCGTGTGATACAAAATCTAACAGGAGGATTCATTAAAGTACCCAACGAATCTTCACGACGCGCGCTCCGCAACAAGCACTTTATGACCATTTTGAAAATCTCAAAGTTTTCAACACACCCTTTTTGTCTTGCAGTTTAGCCAATACTCTTTCAATTTAGGCTTTGAGAGGAGCTTAGACACTCATTATATTTCACAAAAAAACCTGCCATGCCACCTTTCGCATTTTGGCTTGTTTACCAAGAAAAAACATGATGTTCAAGTTCATTCTGATCAAACTTCGCAAAAAAAACTCGTACATTGCTATACCTCCTTCCTCCTCGTGCTTCCTTCTCTTTTCTTGACATCAAGACAGATCCGAGATTTTTGAAAAGAATTGCGGTAATTCTCGATCTGTGTGGTCATTGCTCTACCCTAGATTTCAAAATTTGCGTATTTTAAAATAATAGCCACTTATTCACTTTTATAATCTAATGAGTACTAATCGGGTTTGGACCTCAATATTTTTAAGGCTCTGCAGTGTGTTGGAACATATGCTATCCTGATCTTTTAAAAGTCAAGACTGACAAAGCAGCCATAGAGTTTTACCTTTTGATTCAATGGAATGGCAGCTGAAAGGCTGCCATTCCATTGAATCAAAGGCTTGGGCTTTGAGGCCTAATCATAGAGAATGATCAGAAGCACGCTCGCGAGAGAGACGCGAACTGCACTGCGAGCGCAGCGTCGCCTTCCAGCCCCAATCCCATTGAATTAAAGGGTAAAAAAAATTGCATAGCAGAAGTTTTGCTGTATCACTTGAGACATTTTTTTTAGAATGTATCAAATGCTAGAAATTATCTGAACTCAGACAAGGTAAAGGGGTTGCAAGCTCTGATAGTCATCGCAGCGGTGTTGGTAGAATCAAAACGAGAGCATAGCGCTGGAAGGAGTTGAATTTTTGCGTAGGTCAGTTTGAGCGTTCGTCGACACTCATTTTAATGGCTTTACAGGTAATTTCAACAAAAAAAAACTACGAGAAAACCGGCTAGTAAAATACAGAGAAAGTACTACAAAACCTGCCGCGGCGTGGGTATCAATCAGCTTTTTTTCCTCTTTTGACAACTACATTTCCCTTGCGGTTTTGCAGTCTTCGCAGTGTTATCGCCATGTGTCACAATCTTACGAAAATATTTTGGAAATTTGCAAAGCAACTTGAGCCGGAATAAAGTAAACTTGCTATATTTTGGTCATTTGAATTGCCCTAATTTTAAGAGCGCATGACGCACCTTTTGCTTTCAATTTGAACGGCTCGATTCACTGTGTCTTGAAACGATCGCTCTGCCGCAGGATTTTCTCAAGTAATGCATGGTAACGGTAATCGACATTAAAGACAACTTTCTTTTGTAATCAACAACGAAATGGCTACCTACTGAAAATTACCTGTAATTTTACCATAGGATGAATGCAGTCAGGACGCACGGCTTTATTTCAGGAATATACGTTAGAGCTAAGAGGCTGGTTAATCATCAAAGGCTGTAAAATTCTGAAAAATAAGTGAATACGAAGGATTTTTGCCATACCGTAATTGCATCTTTGCAGAAAAATCGAGGCTATATGCTTTTTCCATGCAAATTTTGTGATGTATGATAAATCCACATACTCTGCGAAGACCAAAAGTCGTTTTACTTTTGTCAAATGTCTTCTGCGCGGCGCCGCCGACTCTCCTCTTTTATCTTAAACAAGAAAAATCAAAATCAAGTTGTGTACAACACTTACAGAAGGACTTTGATTGTCTGCACCATGAGAAAACATCCGGTGCATTTGACTTGCAAAACAATTCTGATCGATCACTTGCGCAATTGTATTCTGTATGCCTCTAAACAAGAGTTTAAGGAAGAAAAAAGACAGCAAAATTCTCCAATACTTTGTTCTCTATTTGAATGATACATACCAAACCTTGCTATGGTTTTTGAGAAAAGCTCGGCTTGCAAAAGTACCGACTTCAACATTGAACGAACGAATTATTATTGGACAAATTTTTACCACCAATCAATCTATGAAGAATGACTGCATTATTTCTGCTCTTCTTTTTCTACCACCGTATTAATTCAGGTGCCTATTTTTCATTTGCTTTTTCTTTATTTCTGCACAGATTACAAACATCGTATCGAGCTAACTCAGTGCTGCTTTCTAGATTTTTTTACTAGATCGAAGATGAAGTGTTTGTATTAATTATTCCCTTGCTTTCCTTGCTGAACTATCTTATTCACAAAATTGTATATCTGTTGGTCCTTCTTGTAAGTCTGTGTTCGTATGTAACAATATTATCGAAATTCCATTCCTGAATGATCCGAAACTTTGCGCACACTTCGGCGTTGCGCAAGTGTTAAAGGCTTTTTTGGTGATCGGTTTTATCGATTTGAAATTCCGAGATGCAGGGTGGGATTGACGGGGGTAAGCGATCACGAAAACAGTATTACCCTCAAATCTTACAGATGAGTCCGCTTTTCTGCTCCAGATAAGTCCGCCTGATAGACCCTTTAGATAGGTCCGCCCTAAAGATAAGTTCTTTTTCCATTATATCTACCCCAAAATCTTGTCAGATAAGTCAAGACTTATCTGAAAACGGACTATCTGACGGGAGGCCCTATCCTTTGAAATTTTAGGCAGTTAGAATTATCGTTTACCCTTATGATTCTAGTGAATTTTGTGGCCTACGGTGCTGGAAATTGGCGTTGGGACAAGTGAGATACTAACTCCGAATACTGAGAGGAGAAAACTGACATGTTGAGCCAGGGACAGGAAAATGCTGAGTGGAAGCGAGCTAGAATGGTGTACTTCTTGTTGTTACGGCGAGCCAAGCCGGATACTCCAGCTACTGCATATAATCCTGAGCCTTCAATGTTGCGACAGCTACTCCGTCGTAGTACTTAACATAAGAACAAGTAATTAGTCTAACACGCTTGTCTCCAGTAAACTTCTAGTTTGCTTTCATTCGTCCTACAATTTCCGAAAATTGCATGAAATTGCTACATGTTTGGCGAATAATTCGAACTGACCTTTCCAGAAGAATGTTCTGCTCCGAAAATTCCCAGTGGAGTAGAAATAGACAACAAAGGCCCTTATCCAAATGGTGCTACTATAAACGTAAAGTGTCAAGGAAAAGGCTACATACTGGGTGACTATGGAATCGCTTCTATTATCAACTCTGTTTCTAAACTTCTTCGCAGGACCATCATCAATGACTTGCGTCTTCGGTAACTGGGCACCCAACTTCTTTGGTCAATGCAGCCATGGACCGGGTTGTAAGAATACTAACAATAATCATTCTTTACATATTGAGTGTTGTTTGTGAGCCGTGACTGAGATTGTTGCAATACTTTATCGGCTAACGTTTCGGCAGATCGCCTTCTTCAGAGCCTGAAATGGGTAGAAGAAGGCGATCTGCCGAAACGTTAGCCGATAAAGTATTGTAACAATTTCGGTCACGGCTCACAAACAACACACACCATAATACCACCATGCCGAGGTTCATCGAGAGTCGTACATTCCAATCTTTACATAGATTGGAGGGTTTGCTTGTGAACATAAAAACGTGTCCTTTCAACTTTTGGATTGACCGAACTGAGAACACCTACTTTATGTTTATACATCTTGAATGGCCATTCTTATGATATGCGATTCATTTCAAAGGTTCGGCAGTGTTAATCGTTTTTGGGACCGCTTATTAAAATTCAAAGCGCATTTGCAAGCAACAACTGTGCTTCATACATCCTCCAGAAAACTTCAGTGGGTCGAAATTTGTGAGATTGTGGCAGCACGCAGGCAAACTCCCGTTGACAATTGATCGTTAACTGGACGAAAAGGCTCGAATCCTGGTGCATCGAATAATATGATCCCTTTGTCTGTCCAGGGGAGCTGCGTCTTAATTTTGTTCTCAGAACCTTGGGTTTTCAAAAGCTACTAATCCACAAAAAAAGGAAGGTTAGGCGAAGTGGCCCCTTAATGTGAAATGGACACTGCCTTGAAGGATATAAGACGCTAATTCCAAACTTACCTTTCTTACAGTAAGTTTCGACCCGCTTTAGGCGGAAATTGGATTGGCGGGAGTCCGCCTCGCAACAGCTCGCGCCGTTTCGCGGCTACAGTATATCCTATCGCGCTGAGTACCCATGTCTGCGTCTCTTCAATCTCCCTTAGTCTTTGCTTGGCAAAATGCCAGCGCTATGCGCTCGCGAAGCCTCCAGCGATGCGGATGCGCTGCTCCACGTAGAATGTCTCGCCTAATCCGGGATGAAACCGACTGTATTTGCTGCAGGTTCCTGGAAGAAGTTACGAAGGTTTCATGAGCAAAAATTGCATGCGCAGCTAGGATAAAACCAGTGTGACATTCTCTCTACAGCTCAAATGACTTTCGGGTTACTCTGTGCAATAAATATGCTCGATTCAAGCACATTTGCTTAACTCTGGCACTCACTTCGGAACGCTAGGAAAAGTCAACGACTGATTTTACACTGATCAAGCGTGGAGTGTTTTGCTCACAAAAATCTTCAGAACTCCTTGCTCAGAAAACGCAGCGGGAGAGTATATTTACAATTAGCGTTTCGCATTCTTCAAGACGGTTTGCATCTCATACAGAAAAGTCATTCGACTAATCTTTTTTGCTCGTCAGTAGAACTAAAAGTTGTTACCAAAAGTTGCTTATTTTGGCACAACGGAAGCATTGCGGACACCAGCACTTTCTGTAGAATGTAAGGATCATGTGCGGCTTACGTTCTTTAGTATAAGATTTGTATAAGTTGTTTGAGCAAAACTTCAAAAAAAGAAGAGAAGGGGTGAGTGTTCTTGAGGTACGGAAGCTCTTTCTTACACGGCAAGGGATTAATTAAGCACTTTCCTCAAGCTACTGCTGCTCAAGCTAAATTTAATGATGTATACATACAGATGAGATCAACTTTTTCAATCGTGTCGTTTAATAGATTATCTCAGATTCCTGCACGGCTCCTCAAGCACCAGAAGGAGCACATTTGAGCCGACAAGGCCCGTTTGGTAATGGTGATAGCGTTGAAGCCATTTGCGATAAAGGCGGTTATATAATAGGTAAATTTTTTGTCTGCGAATTTCATGACTCAAGCCTTTCCAGCAACCTTTCTAGCAAACGAGAAAAAAACACATATTTGCGATTCTACCACACCTCCCATCTATTTCAAGAAATTGGAATGTTTTTAAGTTTTGCTCAAAAAACAAATGTAAAACTTACTTCTCAATGTTTTTTTGTAAAGGTTGTGCTGTAGCATCTTCCGGATCTAATCAATAAGTGACCGGTCGCGAAGCTGTTGGTATAATTCAGGTTAAAAAATGCCTTTCACAGAACTTTTCAGAACTCTGTCTCAACCTTTTTGTGATATGCTGCAAGGTAAATGCACAAACTTGATCGTTTCTTTCATGTCATTATCCGTTCATCCAACTGGTTTTGGAGAGAAAAACAGTCTTGAAATACAAATGTGTTAAAAGAAACAAAAGGAGTGTTATCGAAGAAAGGTTAGTGTTGAGGTGTGTCATCAATGACATGCGTCATGGGATCATGGGCACCATCTTTCTTCGGCGAATGCAGTGATGGAAGGAAATGTAAGCTAGTTTCTTTTATCATTCTTGGGGGGGGGGGGGAGGGCAAATGTTTTGATTATCGTAAGTGAAGAGTTAGTGCATCTCTATCAAGTGTTTTAACTGTGAAACAAAGAAACTACGTTGACATTTGTTCAGGTATGGTTTCGTGCTTACCTTCAGTTCGGTGAGATCTTTAAGGTTTAGAAGGTGTCTGATTTTGATGTCCTATCCTCATCAGGCACATAGACGGAAGAATGAAGGCTTTGCTTAACAAGGGAAGGATACTAGACAGGCGAACCAAAATGACATGCATGTCGTTAGGTGCGCCTCAATGAGCTGATTCCAAACCTAACTTAGGTACCTGCTATCCTTTTCTCTGAAAGAAGTTATGAGCGCTTGAATGTCCAAATTTGGCAAACATTCAGTGTTACATCTTAAAAAAACTGCTTCTAAAAAACACATATGTTCGGTGTATACATGCATTCCTTGTAATCAATGCATTCAAAACCTTGATTAATCAATCCCAAGCTGGGTTTCAAAGCACATACGCACTATGACTCCAATAACTTTACACCTTTGATAGGCCATAGCTTCTTCTAGAGTAGTGCTTAGCAGATAAAGGTACATTTGGAATCAGGTCTTCAAAAAGCGTCTAATGATATGCATATCATTTTGGTTCGCCGCTGCGACTGGTGTTGTCCTTCCCTGGTAAGAAGAAGAGATGAACGAACATGGCATCCGCTAAGCAGTTTAGCGCCTGCGATTTCTGCAAAGCGCCAGCGTGCTTTTAGCGGCTTGAGGAAACAGCGAAATAAACCTCAGCAGTCGCCTACTTAGCACATCTACTTGGCGCGATGGTGTGTCATGCAGTGAATACCGCTGGAATTACTTCACATTCATGGTGTGTCAAGGCTTGATCTCTGCAGAATTTTGTTTGCGCTAAATGCAAGGAAATTACCTTTTTTGTCAGCCTACTTTAAGAATAATGCCAGCATGCGTGATATTATTCAGCGCTAATTGGTTCGTGAATGGCCTTAGTCCCAACTGAAAATTTTCAAGGTCGGCAATGTGTTTGAGCTCCAACGAATTATATGCAAATAGATCACTTCAAACTGGAACAGTGCCTTTGAGCTCTTTCATCAGCCAACTCATTGCTCAGCCGCAGTACGCCAAAAATTGAGCTTAATCGCGCATCTGCGCAGTTCCAGCATGCTTTCCGTGTGATACAGTTCGTGACTAAAAATAGTTGTTTATCATAAACGAAATCATGCTTCTCATGATGCTGTCAAAGCAAGAGTGTGGTAACATATCGCAAGGACAATAAAAATAAACACAAATCTTGAAAGTATTTCAGAAACTATTTTTTCTACTCAAGAGAAAACTATTAGGTTGTCCCATAAGTCTTTTCATTTTTGGTTTTCGCTATAACAAGTTATACACTTCTTATTTTAAATAAACACCAGAATATTGTTCGATAGGGCAAAACAAGCTTTACAAGATGGCATTTATGCTTTCGCACACACTTCGGTCCACCTCAAGTTTTGAACCAAAATCTAAAAAGTTTCAGATGCTCAGAAAATTGAAAATTTTCAATATCTTCGTTCAAAAAAGTCCTACAAATCTCTCATTCGCTCACGCATATACATTCCACATTAGCGAAACCGAAAGTTTTCATGTTTTTACCAAAGTGATGCTGTGCTGTTCTTACACTGACAGTTGTATACTACAAGCCCTTAGAAGTACAACGGTGAATTTTTGGCTCTCTATAAGCTGTGGTTTCCGAGAAATGTTGAGTTAAGCATGAGAAACCCAAGTGAGGAAAAATTCGGTATTTCTCGTGAACCAGTGCTTATAGAAAGCCAAAAATCTACGGTAGTACTTCTAAGGGCTTTCAATACATAACTGTCAGTGTAAGAACAGCACAGCATCACCTTGGTAAAAACATGGAAATTTTCAGTTTCTTGATTTCTAGCTGATAAAAAAAATACAGCAACGGCACATATGAATGTCTGATGTGGAATGTATATGACTGAACAAGCGTGAGATGTGTAGGGCTTTTTTCAATGACGATAGTGAAATTTGCATATTTCTGAGCACCTGAAATCCTTTAGATTTCGCTTCAGAACATAAGGTGGACCGAGCTTGTGCAAAAGCATAAACGCCATCTTGCAGAGCTTGCTTTGCTCTATCGAATGATATTCTAACGTCTATTTAGAATAAGAATTGTTCTTATTACAGCGAAAACTCAAAAATGAAAAGACTTATGGGACAACTTAATAGACATCTAAATTCTTGCAAACATTATTAATACCTTTCGTATGGGGTTATGTCACAAACTTTATGTTATTAATGCCAAACTTAAAACTCATCTCAAAACTTGTTGCAACCGAAATCAAATTTTTCAGAATATTTTATATCTCGACCATACTGGATATTTGCGACATGATGACACAGATTTCGGTTTAAGCAATACTGTGTAGATCACCCATTCTTTCTTCATAATCAAAGACGTTATTTGAAAAGGAGAGAGATGAATATCGAATGCTGGGAGTAGAACGCGAAAAGTAATATAGCGATAATATAATTGCTCTTATTCCAGTGAATCTGACAACATTTTTGGAATGCTTGCATCGCGTAGACCAAAGCCTATGTTGATACCTCCTCAGTTGCTATACTGTCTAATGTTTGATAAGGGAAAATGGGATTTATTTTAGAATTATTTTGACCTGCAGTTTTCTCAAGGACTGCTTTCGAAGTAAATTGTACAGCAATCCATCAATTAAAGACTTTAAACATAGGAAAACCTGGATAAAAACAAAGGAAGGAAAGCTGCAAAAGTTTGTACTGATTATGCTGTCACATGAACAAACTGCAACTCCTGGAAATTTATTGAAACCAAAGAAAAATGCTAGGGGTGATGAAACTCCGAAAGGTTTTCTTTGATTGTTGCCATAACTGCGGTTATCAGATTCTTGTGAAGTGCCCAAGGCTAAGTCCGGCATGAGTCTTGACAAGCAAGGAGTGGTTCCAAGCGACGAAACCGTAACAGCAACTTGCACTGAGAACATGAAAGTGCTTGCTGGTAATGTCTCGTTCTGCGAGTACATTGTCTCCTCCTATTTACTTACAGGAATCAAGTCAATGACTTGCGTTCTCGGACATTGGGCTCCAAATGTGCTTGGAAATTGTGTTGATATCAGTGGGCTGGGTAAGACGGCCTTTATAAGCTTGTAACTGCATTTTACAAGGTCACTTTTCAGGCAGCGTCGTGTATAGTGACGGAAAGGAGAATGTTATTGTGAAGTATCATGAGTGTAAGTCTGTATATTATGATACATTTTGCATGCAAGTCTCAGCAAAACATTCGCTTCCAACTTCTCTAGCTGCTGTTCCATTCAAACAAGGAAGGAGATTCGGTGACTGTGGCCTTTTGAAATAAAACGTATATCCTTGAATCATCTTGAAGCGCTAATTCCAAATCTGCTTTCGGTATCTGCTGTGCGCACTGCCAAAAGAAGTTATGAACATCTCTTGCCAATAAAATTTGCACTGCTTTGATGACAGGATTCCCAATATTGTTAGAAATGTTCGCTTATGCGTTACTATAGCGCTCAAATAATCTAAAGCTTTACGATAAGCTTAAGAAACTGTCTCCGATATATAGGAGTTTGAGAAGACTGATGAATGACGATTGTGACTGCCGCGATCTCATAAAATCAACGGAAAATAGTCCATAACCTGTTCAGAAAGACGCACAGCAGGTAATGAACATAGATTTGGAATCAATGTTTCAAGGTGCATTCACTGGTATACATCTCATCGCAAAAGACCACGGTCACTAACAAGGAAAGGAAGGTTGGTCGAAGTGGCCTTTGATGAGGTGCATATGCCTTGTAGGGCCTGGAACGCTGATTCCAAATCTACCTTCGCTATCTGCTGCGGACTTTTGAGCGGAGAGTTATGAAGGTTTTTATGAGTAAAAATCTGAATGCAAGAGTAGGGTAAAATCAGTCGTAACCTTTTCCCACCGATTAAATAAGGCGGCAGCGAGTTGATATATTTATCAAAATTATTTGTTGCATCGAGTGACCCGACTACCAATTCATCCCTATAAAAAAATGTTACGACTGATTTCACTCTACCCTTGCATTCAGATTTTTACTCACGGAAACGGAAACCTTCACAACTTCTCGCCCAGAAGCCCGCAGCAGATAGCAGAGGTAGATTTGGAATCAGCGTTCCAGGCTCTACAAGGCAGTCTATATCACATTTCAAAAAGCCACTTCGACCAACCTTCCTTTCCTTGTAAGTATCCTTCCCTTTAAAGAACGATTTTTCTAGATACTAATGTGTCCGATCTTGGTAATGGGGAACTGCTCATAAAATACTCAAGCGGTAAGCCAGAGAGGGAGTAGGAAATTACCACTCTGTCTATAATTGTTAATATTTAATTATTATTAATAATTCTTATAGGTGGTTATGGTATCGAAAAAGTCAAGGGATATAAAGGAGTGCCTAGTAAGCCATCGATGGGGATGCCGAACTAAAGAAAAGATAGAGTTCAGGTAGCGAAGAACATCGATGGAGTATCGTGAACGGGATGATAGAAAGAGATGGTACAATTATTCCAAGCGTAGGATGTGAGTATTGCTACATATCTTTCCCCCGATATTCAATTCATTATCAAACCATAAATCTTTTCAATGCTGCTTTTAGTTTTCTACGCAAACAACTGCATGAATAGCTTTTATGTTTCCATTATATTCCGTCTAAAACGCATCCTAATCCTCACTGTTAAAACATATTTCTTTTCCATCGCTCGAAGATTATGTATCCAACACGGAAATTATTGCACTCTAAAAATGAAGTTTTAATCTTTCCGCTGGGCGTGGTCACAAGTCGAAGTGGTCACTTGCGACAATGCATTTCGTTGAAACCTAACAAGGGAAGGACCCTCGGTCGAAGTGGGGTTCCCACACGTGATGCATATCGTTGTGCTGGTCTTGGGGCACTAATAACAAATCCGTGTTCCTTAGCTGCTCAATGATCTTCTGAGAAAGGTTACGAGCGATGGTTTCCCCAGTTTGACCACGGATTGCTTAAGTTATCGGCATTGAGAAATGTCAATTGTGGATGGATGGACGAGTGGATAACTGTGGAGACTGTGGAGGAAGTGGTAGAAAGTTTGGAATACTTATGGATGGAATACTTATGTTCCAAACATTCTTCCATTTTGTAGATTGTATTGTTTATACGTATCCTTAGAGGGCCCTAAGGCAGAGAAACACCCTGCACCCGTTGAATAACTTCATAAATGCAAAAATGTTTGGATTATAAGTATTTAGAACTTTCTACCACCTCCTCTATAGTCTCCACAGTTATCCACTTGGCCATCCATCCACAACTGATATATCTCGGTGCCGCTAACTTAAGCTATCCGTGGTCATCCTGGGAAAATCATCACTCGTAACTTTTTCCGGAAGATCATTGAGCAGCTAAGGAACACGGATTGGTATTAGTGCCCCAAGACCAGCACAATGATATGCATCACGTGTGGAAACCCCACTTCGACCGAGGGTCCTTTCCTTGTAAGACATTTCGAGGTTAAGTCCCACAAGAGTCTTGCGGAACTTAAAACTACGGGGCTGAAAAGGTAGTCTTGCGTGAGAATCCAATTTTATCCCGAACTTAGGGCCGGGCATATATCACGAAATTTCATCGTCACGACTCTAAGGTCAGGACAATCGGGTTCTCGCGCAAGACTACCTTTTTTCAATTTTTATTTTGTGAGTGAACCCTTGCGGGAGTCAAAAAAGACCTATTCTGCTCAATACTGAAAGCTCAACAAACGCGGAAGAAAATTTATAAAAGAGCTGATGGAACACGAATGAAATGTGGGAACCATAGGGACATTCTCAATCTGCACATGAATGAGTCGCATTGTTTTCTTTTTCTCCACTTGCTTTCTGATTTTGAACAGCAAACTCTGCTTCATGTAGGGAAACTTCACTGTAGCCTCCAATTTGCTCTCCTTACAACATCAGTGCCAGCACTTATATCCTTCGATCCATTATATTTTTGTCGTTATAACCAACTTCAGTTCTGGAAGCATTATTCTGAAAGACTTTCCAAGGTCTCTGAACGTTCTTCTACGATGCTACCCCGTAAAAACTTTTAAAAAATGAAAAAAGGGGTGCCATAGTAATGTACGCAACAGCAACTGGATCCTTGACTTTCAGATAGCAAGTTTGCATTTACACACCATCCAACATGCCCTCTTAAGTTGCAGCATAGGCTCTTTGATAAAAGAGCGCTAAATTTCTGCCGCAATCGTGAATTCGTAAAACGAAATCGCGTGGCGCTATATTGAACATATCAAATATAGACACAAAAATCGCATATAGCCTAGCCTATCGTGAAAGTTTTAAGGGTATGCACCTTGTCGGAGTTACGCCTTTTGACCAAGCTCGTCTTTTACCTGATTGTTGTTTTTCAGACAGTCGCGGCACAGTGAAGTTGAGCGGATACGAGAAAATCGACCAAAATAGCGGTAAAAAATATCTTTTCCGCTTGAAAACAATTGCTGTAATCTTCACAGTTTAGGAATAAGCAACATTTCTGGTCCTACAGGAGTCAATATTATCAATGACATTGTCTACATCAATGGTGTCCCAGTGGCACGAAGAATTAGTAAGATTACTTGAAGACAGGATGCGGTCTTAAGTGCGATATATTTTCAGATGGTGGAAGCGGAGATGTATCAATAAACAACGTGGCTGGAACTGGTTTTAATGTTGATGGTGATTTTTGGTGACGAAAGTATTAAGAAATACAAGACTGTGTTACTGTCAGTAGCTAAGCACATATCGTCTACAATACCTTTGAACAACAAATCTGTCAAAGTTGAAGAACTTGCAACAATGGCATTTCGTGACCTTTTATCGAGAATGCGGAAGCTAGGTCGTTTCGGTTCCTACAAATGTTTGCACAGAAAACGACGATTTATAACAAGGTCTCAAATGATTACAATACTACGAAAAGTACCCCCGAGAAAATCACAAAGGCTTGTTTTATTTAAAAGAAGAAAGACAGAACATATGTTCAATACAGTGCGAGACTCCCTCCGTTTACTTCAATTGAGTTTTATTCCCGAACAAGTGTAAGTGGGCATAAGTCAAATCAAAACATTCACGGCTTGGCAAAATTGCAAGATGAGTGAATAGGTAGTTATGAGAATACAAGTACATGAAATGAACGCTACGTATTTCATCTACAGATTTTAAACAATTTTTCTATATACAGCTAACATGACTGAAACACATGAATTTAAAAATGCTATAAGTCTTGAATATCAGTGACTAGCTGGCATACCCGGCTCCGCCGTATGTTCCGAATAGAAAATTCCATTTCTTAACCGATCCGAACCAAACTTGGCACACATACACTTCGGGCCCCGGCGGGTGTCACAGTCCACGTTTCGTTATCGATTGATGTCGATTTTATCGATTTTTTGCAGAATTTGAGCTAGGGGGCTGGGATTTGGCACAGGGGGGTAATCGAGCATGCTGATTACGAATACAATATTAGTTTTCGAAACATGCATTACTTTTATCGATTTTATCGATTTTTTTGCAAAATTTGAGCTAGGGGCTGGAATTTGGCAGGGGGTGTAATCGAGCATGCTGATCACCCCCACGGGGGTGATCAGCATGCTCGATTACCCCCCTGTGCCAAATCCCAGCCCCGTAGCTCAAATTTTGCAAAAAATCGATAAAATCGATATCGATCGATACGAAAAGTAGCCTATGACACCCGCCGGGGCCCGAAGTGTATGTGTGCCAAGTTTGGTCCGGATCGGTTCAGAAATGGAATTTTCTATTCGGAACATACGTACACACATACATACAGACAGACAGACAGACAGACAGACAGACAGACAGACAGACATACAGACAGACATACAGACAAACAGGCATTCAGCTTTATATATAAGACTAGCGACCCTACGGGTCGCTAGTGAGCGGGTGGGGACAGATACATTGATATGTGCCTGCGTTTACTGAAAATTCCAAGAAGAATTCCAATCTTTTCATTGACCTTTCGCGTGTTATAAGTAGTAAACACCATGCTCTTAACACACTCATGATACGGTCATTTTATCGATTCCTGCCGCTTCGGACATACGTCCCACTGGTACCAACTTGCTCGTTTTTTTCGATTGCCGATTGATCGTATGGTCCGAAAGTTGGTCTTCTAATTAGGCTTCACCTAGGAATGATATCCACGAAAGTCCCCGCGAAATGGGCTTTTCGTGCGAATAAAATGGACTTAGTCCATGCGGTGCGATAAGATATCGCATTCGCGAATCCATTCATTCCATACAAAACTTCTTCAGCAAACATTTCTCCAACTTGCCTCAACCTGTTTACTCACTCTTGCAAACTCATTTCTACCAAGTGGTCGGTATCTAACTAGGGCTGACCTAACATTACGTTGACAGTCACATGAATATTCTATGCTTTCACACTTTATTATACATCAAAAATGCCATTTGTTATCGATAACTATGCATCGAAAATACCTTCAAGAATAGAATTCACATAATATCAGGGCCTTCGCTTCTCAAGACTTCTATGGAACTGCTTTAAGTCAAATTCGTATGTAGGGCTTTCTGGGGAAAGCAACCGTTGGCTAGACTTGCGCTGCGATCTGTGAAGCAAAATGCTTATCTCGTAGGAAACCTTGCCCTACAACCCAAAGGGTTCCTTAAACCGGAAAACTACGAGTCGCAAAAGATGACTTCGCAAATGTTCTACTTTAGCTCTTCTTTGTCTTTCAGCATTAATGTTTATATCTCTAAGTAGTCAAATGTATGGGCTATTGCTAGTAGAAAATTTTTCACAAAATTTTTCTTGCTAGCTAGCGGCATTTCAGTAATTCTTGCGACCAATCTCAAAATCGCGTTTGAAATGCCGTCTTTGAGGTTCGGTTCTACGAGAATAGTCAAAAGATAGCTTCTGAGTAATTGTATTGAAACGCAAATCTTTCTTATTCTCAAATACAAATCATGAATTTAATTTTGGTTGATAATCTGAAGAGATAACAAACTATATTCGATTTACATAGGAATATTCGCATCGACCTGATATTTGAAAGCATTTGAGTTTGTTAGCGAATATTTTGGTGAATTTAACCTTCTTCCATGATTTTTATAGCGTTTGTATGAGCTTAGAAAGAAACACTTACTTCAGACTTCATAAAAGACAGGAAACTTTTTCCACTCACTTGTTACCTTAGAATGAGCTGAGGAACACATTCTCAAAAAATCGCCATCAAAAATATGCAAAAAGGTCAAAAATGGGCTTAGTCCCAGCTCACCTTGCTGCTGGGAGTAAAATGGGCTTTCAAGTCCATTTAAAATGGAGGTAAATCCCATTTTGCCCCATTCTAAATGGACTTTTCGCATGATTCTTTCGCAAGCGAGAGCTCAAGTAGGGTTGAATCATTTTCATCACACCGCTTTGTCTCGTGGTTGCGATGAGATAAAATTTTTTGGATAACGCTAGCGAAGTAGATTCCGACCAGTTTCTACCGCGAACGAATAAAATGGGGTTTGAAAGTCCATTTTCCTCCATTATGGACTTTCGTGGATATCATTCCAGATGTCTCCAGATATGTGCGACCTACCGCTGGTTCGTATTGTCATAAATGTGTTAAGGAAGCTACCACCAATGACTTATTATCTGCAAAGCATCTTTGCTGTTTTTCTCGCGGATTCATCAGCCCAGATAGCATAGCTCTTGAAGAAGGAAGCTGCCTCCGATGTCATCTGTTCACTACAGTTGGGACCGAATATTCATATTCGAATATTTATTCAAAATATTCGACTATTCAACTACTCGAATAGTCGAATGTTCGAGAAAGTCCGATTATTCGATTGTTCGAATAGTCAAATGAGAGAAAAAGGTCCTTATTCTGATAATTCGTTCATTCGACGATCCGAAAAATATTTTATTCGAATATTCAAAAATTTGAGGAATCTCAAAAGACATTTGTTCGAATATTTGATTATTCGAGAAGTTTTGAGAACCGTTGTTCGAATACTCGAATATTCGACTATTTCGTTTGATTATTCGAACATTGCACGCGGATATTTGAATATTGCATTCGAATATTCAATGATACCGGTTATTCAATTATTCGAATAGTCGAATATTAAATCAAGTTCAGTTATTCTAATATTTGTTCACTCGAATTTTGGAATGTGACCATTTCCGAGTATTCAAATTCGAATAATATGAAAATTGGAAATCGAATATTATTCGTTCATTCGAAAATATTCGAAAATTATTTATTCGGTATTCGTTCGAAAAGTTTTCGAAAATCAATTATGATAAGTTCGTTCGATGAAAATTTCTGTTCTTTACAACTATACTGTTTACAATGCTGTATCCTAAAATTCAAACTGATTTCTAGGAAAAGTGTCGTGCCCTGGAAAGCGTCAAGTTACGTCTTCGAGCAGCAGAATACCCCCCAAATATGTAGATAAAAACGAAGCAGCTCTTACGGAATTTTATGCGGAGTTTTATGAAAGTATCTCAAAACGAAAATATTTTTATCGATAATATCTTGCCAATAGACGACTCAGTTTTTAGGACGAAACTAAAGCTGGCAAAACGCATTCTTGTTCGAGGCAGTCTTAGCGAAACTATCCTGTCACTTAAAACCCTCGGTCTCTCCTTCCCTCGAAATCAAGCTCCTTGTGCTCTCTTGCTTTTAGGGGCACACGCATGGTTTTTGCAAAATAAAAGGGACCAAAAATAAATCTTCCGGTTAAACACATCTAGAAAATCTTCGCGCAAATATCTTGCTGCTTGAGGCCATGAGTGTTTGCTTCCCTTGAGACCAATCTCTCTGTGCTTTTTTGCTTTTAGGGGCAGAAGTGTGGTTTCTGTGAAGTTTAGTTGGCCAAAAGTTTCAGTGAAAATGTCCTGTCGCATGAAGCTCATGGCTCTGTCCTTCCCTCGAGACCAAATTCCCTGTTTTCTGCTTTCAGAGGCAAAAGTATTGTTTTTGCGAGGTGGACAAAAGTGAGTCTCAAGCAAGTTTCTGTATAATCAAACATTTACAACTAGAAATTCTTAGCGAAAATATCTTGCCGTTTGAGCCCCTGAGTCTTTGCTTCCCTCCGGGGTCAAGCGTGTTGATGCGATCCGGGACCCTCATTTACGACCCCCCCCCCCTCTTGAAGGTACCCATCCGTACGACCCCCCCCCCTCTCCTCCCCCCTCACCATCTACCCCCCTTACCTCCTCTGCACAGATTCTTCGCGGTAACCTGCATAAACGAATGTCAATCGCAAGAAACACCCGCGTGGGAACTTCAGTGAGGTTCCGGAAGCGGAATGTCTAGGCCAATGGGTGCGGCCAGCATCTATGGCACACATACACACCTTCAATAATGTTTGAGATTCTGCAAGTTTCTTTTTTGAACTTTCAGGCATACTTCAGGCCAGCAAATTCGATTCCCGTATGCGATACAAATTTTTGCACGGAGAAAAAAATGACGTTCTTGAACTACAAAAGATTTTTCGACTAAGAAGCTTACTTTCTTTCTAATGCACAGATTTTCCAGCGAAGAAAACCGTTTTGGCGCCTTCCAGAGCGGTGTCAAAAACGTGCATGAGGACGGTAGTTTGAAAATTCATAACTAAGGCCGGGAAAAGACTGAGAGGCTGCAATGAACAAGTTCTGTAGCATAGTGCCCAGACTATCCATAGAAAAAGTTTCAACCCGTGAGGAGCAGTGAGCTCGAAAAAATCTAGATGCGACTCTCGCAAATTT